GCTCCCCTCACACTAGGCTCAGGAGGTGCGCATACTGTCTGGGGACTGGTTTCCTCTTTCGTCGGTCCATCTTTATCATTTTCCTCCTCGGCCCTTGGTTTCTTTTCTGGCGAGTCTGACACCTTCGCCTTCGGATTTTTGCGACCTTTCTCCATAGTCTTTTCTGTCGCCTTTTTCTCATTCTTTACTGATTTTGGAGGTTTCACGTCACCACTGATAACTGGAGTCTGATACTGCTTATACTGGGTGTCTCGCGCTCCACTCCTCGTTACCCTGTGCGTGGATGCTGCCAACTTATCCTCTGTCATGAAAGTCTGCTGGATAAAATTCTTCATGTTTTCAACCTCTTCCTCCAGTTGATTTAACTTTGAGGCTAGCGTTTGACAACCGCTGCAAGAGGTTTCCGCATGTGTCGATCGTAACCGATTTGTAAGGCTTTTAGAGCGATCGCCTGGGCGTGCGGTGATAGCGCAGTGGTCTGCGTCGCGGTCTTCCGCTAGCGTGGTCCCGGGTTCGACCCCACAGTGAGGGCCATTTTGTATTACTTCAGAGTTCGTCATTTTGTGCTACTTTACTATATCCAACAAGAAAAAAACGATCAGGCGAGATTTTTGCCTAAGATGCGAGACGGAAAGTCTGTGGCCTCGTTCTGGTCGTTGAGAGTCACCGTATAAAATAAATATCTTCGTCTTAAAGAGGTTCGTCGAGCAAATACAGGAAGCAGCTGTTTAGTTCTAGGGCTTTATCGAGTACGTTCGAAATATGATGCATTCAACGAATAATATTAGAAGAGTAACTCAGTCTATGCGGGAGTTGTTCCAGATGTTTCGATGGAAGGATAATCTGAGTTTCTTGGCTCACAAACAGCAGAAATGAGGAATGTCTGAAGTCCGCGTCCTGCGAATCAGCTTTTGTCGCCAAAGAATCGTGACTTCCGAGTAGATAATTCCGTAAGTCAAAGAAAACGCAATCCACGCGTGAATTATTGTAGACCGGCGTGCTCTTAACACTGAGGAAGAGACGAAAATTTCGTAGCTCGGAAGACTTAAAATTTCGAACCTCGTTTCAAAGGACCCTCGTCTAAACCTCGCATGTAAATTTATTTTAACTTGCTTTGATGGGACCCCGACGGGTCTTTAATAAAAAATTATCTATCTGTCTGTATCCTCAGGCTCGAAGCACACATGCAACAATGAAGCCGCATGGAGTCCGAGCCGAGACGCACAATTCCTATCTGTGCGGGAGGTGACAATTGGATGTTTGTGGGGAACTATGATGTTTCTTGATGCAAGTAGAGGAAGATGCAGTGGTGTTGGTTAACTGACGGGTTTTCTGTGCAATGATTTACCGTACTAACAACACCGGTATGAGCTAAAAGCCCAGACACGCGTGTTTCGCCGATCTTATGCCGCTGCCTGACGCAGCTGCGAGGGGTTCGGCTCGTCAGTGGATCGCCCAGCTTTCCTAGTCTGTTTTCTGGTACACGAACTCCAGTTTCAACTTGCCTGTGGGTTTTCGTAAATGCGCAGGTGGCTTAATATGCCCATGTGGTAGTTGAGTGCAGTGAGGGCAGTTGACGCAAATGCATCCGGTGTATGTTGGTGCTCCAGGCACCGGTTCGCCAGTGCGATTGATTCGCAAATGACCGACCAGCCCGATGTGTGTGATGAATGTACTGGGATAGTGGGAACAAGAGTAGTCGGCAGTGTCAGTGTCGGTCTCGGAGATTGTGGCAGTCGTGACGCTGCTGCCCCTGGGCGACGGGGCGTGAGTTGATCTAGGTATGGTGGATGTGCAAAATGTGCTGAGTGAGGTGGAGCTGACGGTGTTGGATGTGCTGGGCGGCGGGGTGTGGGTTAAGCTAGACATAATAGGTGCGCAAAAGGTGCCAGGTGTGTCGAGACTGCGGTCGATTCTGCTCACATGGATACGCATGTGACAGAGTAGACCTATGCGGCGAGTGAATGTACCGGGGCAGTGTGGACAATGGCGGCGAATGCGGCGAGTGTAGGTTGGTGCTCTAAGCAATGGTTCGCCAGTCTCTGTGCGATGGATTCGCTAGTGACCGACCAGGCCCATGTGTGCGGTAAAGGTACGGTCGCCATGAGGACAGGTATGGATCGAGTCCACATCGATGGGGTTGTTTGTGGGGCGGTGGCGTTTTTGATGTGTCAAAATTGTGTGCACTGATGGTGGGTACAGGAGTGGCCGAAGCGGACGCTGAGACAACTGAGGGAGGGGAGGAGGAGGGGGACAGTGGGGGTTCGGGAGACCGATCAATGTTAGTTGTCGGCGTGGATGATGAAGCAGAACTGGACGAGGAGACAGCAGCCGGTGTAGTTCGGGTGCTGCAGTTTGTACAAATATGTCCTACAAAGCCGATTGCTGCCGGAACGTCCGCCGCCAGCGTGGGCAGGTCGAGGCTGGTTGAGCGTTGGCGTTGCGATGTGGGTGCAGTTGGAATCTGTGAGCGTCACTTTTAACTTTCGCGGCGGTGATGCGATGGCCGCGCCTGTCTTCACTGTCCTTCTTCAGGTCTACTGATCTCGAGCAAGGTCTTGTCTGTTGGCGGGGTTGATCTGCAGACGATTCAGAGAAGTGTCCAGAGTGTCCCTGTGGCGACATCTCCGTCGAAGAGTCGTTTATGTAGCCGATCTTAGTCCATCCACATGAGGTGGCCGCTCCGGACCATTTGCAGCTGTCTCAGCATGGCACAAATTCTGGGGATTTCCGTCCGCTCCAGTAAATCCGTGTCATGAATCCGGCCCTGTCATTTCAGCTTCAATTTCCATCGAAAACAGCTGAGACGAAAATGATTGAGTCTCCGCGCCTGCTTCTTGTACACTGTCCAGGTCTCCGTTGCATACAGCAGCTTCGGCAGGATGACCGCTTTGTCCATCCTCAGTCTGATGTTGAGGTGGAGCCCGTGGTGATTCCAAACGGTGCTTTTCAGACGGCCAAAGGCTTGCCTAGTTTCGGAGATTCGTCGGACCGCTTCATTGCCGATCTTGGTGGTGAGGGAGAGGATGCTGACGAGGTAGATCAAACTGTCCACGACTTGCAGCTGGACGTCGTTCACGTCACTTTTGGATGCGACTTAGGCGGCGTTGTGTGGCGACTGCTGCATAACCACTGCTGTCTCCATGTTAATGACCAGACCGAAGTTGTTACAGGTGGCGGCGACGGCGATGGCAGCGGCGAATAGGTCCATACTCCTTTGCATGTCGCCTTCCGAGGTGGCGCTGACAGCGCAGTCGTCGGCGAAGACGAGTTCGTGGGTGGTACTTGTGGATGCACGCGATTAGAAGTGCACCCGCCAGAGGTTGAGGTGTTAGTGTTTGTCACGGTAGGTGTCCATCGGCATGGCAGAGAACATTAGACTGAGAAGGGTGGGCGCGAGGACGCAGTCTAATAATAATAATAATTTTTTCATTAATGACCCGCCGGGGTCCCATCAAAGCAAGTAAAAGTAAATTTCTATGCGAATTTTAGAAGAGATAGGCAGAATCTTTACAACATGCAAATCATAGTTTCTCAATTAGTAGTCCGTTGGGAAAAATGACTAGCGAGGCCTGAAAAAAACTCCTTACAAAAATTTAAAAATAATTGGATTAATTTTACAGGATAAAAAAACCCCTCAATAAAAATAATGACAGAAAAATGCTGACATGACTGGCCTGTATGTGGCGGTATATAACGAATTATAATCGGACATCGTCAGGTCAGAATTAAATGTCATCCTTGAGGGGTACGTATGCGGGTCGGACAGGACTGGACTGCATGTGGTACTGTGTACGGGATTCAGAACTTACATCGTCAGGGCTCGATTGATACGCCGGATGGTACTATTCGCGGCAAAGAGGCCAGAGGAGGGGAACCCAGACGCGATCGGCCACAGTACGTTTCGAGCCCAGCCGAAGAAAGTGGAAGGGAGGTACGACCAAACTACTAGTAGACGGCGAATACTGAGGCTTCTGCCGTGAGCGTAAACAGACCGCTTGAGGTTAAACGCAGGAGATGACATCAAGTATCGCGAAAATTGTCGCTATGAGGAGGAGTGATAGCAGAGGATTTATAAACCAATTCAAAGCTGGTTTCTAATGATATAATTGAGGGTTACCACTTGATCTACCACTAAATCCCAAGAGGACCCTCCTCGAAGTCAAGAAGCTGAGTGTTCGGGAATGAGACCGTTAACAGTGCCTTTATGCTTTGCGAATAAGGCGTTTGCGTAATTTTGACTTCAATACCAGTAACTGAGGCGATGACCAAACTTCTGGCAAAAGATTATTGCAAAGGAAGGCATATTTAGAAGCAAAAAGAGGGAGCGGCTAGATGTAGTGGAAAGAGGCGGCGGAATCACCATGGAAGAGTTGCGCGTGGCATAAGAACGATCTTTCGGAGTGAGAGTGTCAATGAGCGGAAGACTGGAGCTAGAGTTGATGCAAAAAAGGAAGCAAAGGCCAGCTTCGACTCTTCTAACCCACAAAAACTTAATGTTCGCCAGCTGACATCTCTGGGTATAAGGAATACCGGAGTAAGCTAGAGAGAACAGTTTCCGGGTGAAAACCTTCTGAACATTTTCGATTTTATTACGGTCACAGACGTACATTAAACCAAATAAAGGACAGCAGTATTCGAGAACTGGAAGAACAAACATTTGATAAAGTCTTGGCTTCATTTCCGGAAGGAAAAAATTATGCGATATGAATCCACATATCTGCGCGGCTTTGGCAGAGATTCTATCTGCATGAGGTGATAAAGAAAGCTTATTTGTATAACTTAGACCTAGGTTCTTTATGTTGAGGCATTCTGAGAGTGGGTTATTCTGAGAAATAATGGGACCAGGAAGTTTGGCAGGACAAGAAGACATGAAACTACACTTGGATGATCAAAACCCCATCTGCCATGTTGAACCCCATCTACATAAGCGTAGTAAATGGGCATTTATTTTTTTACACACACACGTTTGCGATGCCCTTAGAATATAAGTTAACACACTTGAGGTCATCGAAATAAATAAAAGTTTGTGAATTTCCAAGTTCAGTCGAAATATCTTTGATGTAAAGTAGGAAGAGTAGTGGACTCAGAACCGTACCTTGAATTAGGCTACTCGTGATCGAGTGAGATGCCGAATAGCTATTACCGACCATGACTTTCTGGTATCGGTCGGGCAGATAGGACCTGATGAAGTCGAGTGGAGGCGGCCGGATGCCGAGAGCTTTCAATTTTATCGAGGGATATCTATTGGTCGAAGGTTTTGCTATGATCAAAGTAGGTAAATATCACCTACTGCAGTTCATTACGAAGAGAAGTGATTAGATTAAGAAATGTCAAATGGCAAGTTTCGCAGGATCGTTCAGGTAAAAATCCATGCTGTTTAGAGCTCAGAAGCCGATTAGCCAGCAAGAATTTGATTGAAAATAGTCCTTTCAAGATGCTTTGCTTGAGACGGCGTTTTTTGCACGCCCCGATAGTTATTAACATCGGACTGAGATTCAGGCTTGAAGACGGGAATGATAATTGACGTTTTGCATGTTTCAGGAAAGAATCCTTTTGAAATATAAACCGAGAATAACTGACTAAGCAATATGAGAAGTTCAGACGCTTGTTTAATAATCGAATATGGAATCCTGTCTGTTCCTGAGCAGTTTGAGTGTTTCAAAGGACTTATGTGTTTCTTAATGAGATCTGAGGAAACATCAATTGTACTCAGTGTCCTATCTGAAAGTGATCGAAAGAAAAGAGCTGGATAGGACTCAGTATTAAGGTGTTTTGCAAAGAAAGCACTAAAAAAACTCCGCCTTGTCAGTCTCATCGATGAGGAGAAGGTTGTTATCAATTAGCAAGGGTGGATGTTCGCGACCACGCTTAGAGGAGGACAGATGACGGGAGATGTTGGCGACGCATTTGCCAGGGTTCGAGTCACTGAGGGCAAGTGAATCTGTTTGCCTGTCGTGCGCTTGGCGCACCCTTGAGGCCATCTCAAATATCTCTGTGACTCTAAGGTGAACTGATAAGGAACTAGTAGTTGGGTCACGCAGCTGCGTCCCAACTTTTTAGTCTGTTGTGAAGACAATGAGGAACAAGGAAATCTGAAGAATTAGGCTTGAGATATCTACGCGGCACAAACTCTAGAATGTCCTTGGAAGCATTGGACGTGACATTACGAAGAATGGTTGCATCGCTACAGGAGAGGAAGCCACACCAATCCAAAGATCTAATATAGTTATTTATTAAGTCTTTATCTACGCAGTCGTAGTTTATGTAAGTCAAAAGGGCGCTGGTATTTTTTGAAAAGGCAAGCGGTAGGCAACAATGAATTAATACGTGGTCACTGCCAAAGAGGTCTGTTTTAAGACAACAAAAAGAGGAGCAATGTCATGCGTAAAGATTAGATCTAAAATGGGATTTCCTCCTGTTGGAGAGCGCACAATTTGGGACAAATTAGAAAAATGGGCAATATCTTGAAATGGCTGGAATCTAGGTAGACAGCTATTGGAAACCCAGTCTATTTCAGGGAGGTTAAAATCCCCAGTGATTATTTTAACATCGAAAATAGCTTCGGAAATTACTTTAAAGATTTCACAGAGTTGTGAATCCTCACTGGCAAAAGAATTTGGGGGATTGTAGATACAGCCAATAACTGCCTTTCTTTGTGGTGAGAGAATAACAGATGCAAAGCAGAAGTTTATCGTGAATGAGGAAACATCCAAGTAATAGAGAGAGTGCTTTAGGTAGGATCTAAGATAAAGAAGACAACCGCCCCCACGCCTAGTCATGCGATCTTGACGGTAAAAATCGAAGTCATCTATGAGAAGGGCAGAGTCAGGAATTAGAGAATGTGTCCAAGATTCTGTTACACATATAATATTAGTAGTCATTTCGAGATCAATGGCTCTGATTTGGGCCATCTTGTTTATAACAGACCTGGCATTCAAAAATATAATATCTAATGTGTTTCGAACGGCAATGCTATTGTCGACGGCACTTAAAATAAATTTGGTGACGGATATGTAATCTGTGAATTAATGGCACTTGGAGAATAAGTACCAGTTAGTCTAGAATTATTGACGTACGGTGAGTCAGCAAGACAAGGCTGAGTATGAGGCCTAAAGGATGTGGGGATATAGTTTTCGAACATTGGAATGCTAGGGGAGTTATAACATGGATAGTCTTGTTGGTAGTTAAATTGTGGAGGTAGGGGAGGAGGAGGGAGCCTAGAAGGAAAGTAGAGGTCAGTAAGGGAGGGCAGGCAGCTATAAGAATAAAAGGGTGGGAAATCAGGTCTAGGTTGGAAGTCAAAGGAGGTAGGTTGACGAACCTGAGAGCAATTGGCCTTAAGTGGTGGGAAGTCTGAACTAGGTTGGGACAAAAATGACCTAGGGCAGTTCATGTATGAATTATTTGCTGAATATTTAGTAGGACTTTGATAAGTAACCGATACGCAGGACAGAGAATTATTCGGGGACCTAATTGCAGCTGCGGGGTTTGTAGACGTGCTGGGCTAAACAGACTTGGTAGATACAGGAAAAGACGGTGTACCCTGAAATGGAACTGTACTACCTATCTTTTGGGTCGGAGTCAGATTCAGTTTTCGAGTCTCACCGTTGTGACGACAAGCCACGGGTGACTTAACTGTAGACCCTAATGCACCCATTTGGACAAGAGAAGTTATCGGTTTAGCTGATGTAGACGGATTTTCATGTGTCTCGGCGGGGCTATCCGGAGGATACGAAACGACAAATGGGGCAGGCAAATGTGCCAAGTGGCTTGAGTAAGATGGATGTGTAGGAGTAAGGGGAAAGAGGGAGTCAGATGTCGCAGAAGTGAACAAGCTGAATCCTGACAGCCACTTGCATTATGACCGAGTTGGTGGGCATTAGACTGAGAAGCAGCGGGCTTACGTGAGAAAAGAGACCCGACTCTACACTTCACTCCCTTGGTCTCTGCGAATGCCTCCGAACCAGCTCCATTGTCTGTGACTAGCTCCATCAGGCCATTGCGAAGCTAACACATCATTTGGGTGAACCGCTCGGGAAAACCGAATTTTTCAATGATTTCCTACAGTCCTTCACCATTCACTGTGTTGAAGGCTTTTTTCGGAGTCAGGAAGGTAAAGAAGAAGTGGGTTCGCATCTCCTGACATTTTTCCTGAATTTGGCGGGCGGCGAAGATCGTATCTGTTGTCCCACGATGACAGTGAAAGCTGCACTGGTTTTCCGATAGGAGACCTTGTTCAAGGTTGCTGTTCAGGCGGCAGAGAAGGATGCGAGCGTAGACCTTCCCCGCGATGTTCGGGGAGGAAATGCCTCGATGATTGCTACAGAGCCTGCGGTTACCTTACGGCTTGTAAAGATGGCTGATTCTGGTGTACTTGAAATCCTGCGGGACTCCTTCTTGACGCCATATCCACTGCTATCACTCCCCATAGCGACAATTTTCGCGGTTTTTGATGTCATCTCCCGCATTCCGACCTCATGCGGTCTGTCGACGCTTACGGCGGAACCCTCAGTATTCACTGTCTACTAGTAGTTCGGTCGTATCTCCCTTCCTCACTGCTCGGCTGAGCTCGAAGCATGCTGTGGCCGATCGCATCTCGGTTCCTATCGTCTGGCCTCTTTGACGCGGCGTACCAATCCGGCCCAGACGATCTCAATCGTTAATCCCGTATACAATGCCACATGCAAGCCAGTCCTGTCTGACCCACATTCGACATTTATTGCTACCCTGACGATGACCGACAACATTCCGTTATATACCGCCACCTACAGGCCAGTTCTGTTCGCTTTTTTCTGTTATTATTTTTATGGAGGGTTTTTTTCTCCTGTAAAATCAATCCAATTATTTTAAACTTTTTGTAAGGAGTTTTTTTAACCCCTCAATCATCATGTTTCTCATTGGACTTCTAATTCGGAAACTATGAATTGCATTTTGTAAAGATTCGGCCTACCTCGTCTAAAACTCGCATGTAAATTTATTTTAACTTGCTTTGATGGGACCCCGAAGGGTCTTTAATAAAAATTATCTATCTATCTATATCTCCTGGAATCGCCCAACCAGATGGTCCATGAGCTGGAGGCCACCGTGCTTGTAGATTCCAGCAGGACTCGTGTTCGATCCGGGCGCTTTCAGAATGACAGGCTGCTGCACGTCCCTGATGGTTTCGTGGAGAGAGGGAGGGAGGTCGTGTTCGGTGTGAGAGTTCGAAACGCCGGATAAATAAACGAGTGGTCTCAGCGATCGCCTTCCCGTCATCTTCTATATATATATAATGGTAGGGGGCGCTCACCGATCGTTCATAAGGAACTCACTCGTTCCGTTGTGCCTTAAGGGCCATTCCAGTCTTCCTTGTCTTTGTCGGTAATACCCTTCTGCCTATAGATCATGCGTCGCTGTGCGGCTGCTGGTTGGGCTCGAGAATGAGCCCTTAAGGCACAACGGAACGAGTGAGTTCCGTATGAACGATCGGTGAGCGCCCCCTACCATTGTATATTCCCGATCGAAAACCGATAGGGCAACGGGCTCATGGCCCGGTGGGTAGAGGCGTGGACTTCTAAACCAACAGGTCGCGAGTTCGAGGCTCGGGTGTTCCACACTTCGGGCTTGGGTATGGCTGGCTGACGACGGCTAATAAGCCAGAAATGGCCATTCCAGTCTCCCTTGTCTTTGTCGGTAATACCATTCTGCCTATATATATATATATACGTGATAGAATCGAAGATGCGCGTCTTCGGATATAAATAAGAAGAGACGACCTAGGGAACCATAATCGTTTTACCCTGACGTTTCAAAAGCAAATAAACTTTCATCGTCAGAGGTGAGAGTTGTACCGGGCCTCACAGTATTTATAGGTGGTAACGATCTTGTTACAACTGGGTTAACTCTCGTCAGAAGTCGACGTTCTTGCCCTAGCAGTTATCGGCCGTGTTCGCATTGATCTAATCTCTCCTGCTAGGCAGGCAATCATTTTTTATGACCAAGCTATTGCCTGTGTTCTCACCTGCCGTGCAAGTGGCAGCGACAACAGCATCTTCGTCGGAGCCGTTTGTTTTACCGCGACCGTCCGTTTTCTCACCTTCCGGATAAGTGGATGACTCGGCTGTGTTACGATCGCACCTTCTTCAGATTAGGGTTGAATTACAGCTGCGTTTGTACCCCCCGCGGACTCAGTCGTATTTGGCTTCCTGTCTTGTCGTAACTCCCGTATGCTCCTCTGCTCACTGAGATGGGTTCGGAGGGCTTGGTGGGATTCGGTAAGAGATGCAGAGTGGTTGATGGAATCGTACCGGTGTGCCATGCCTCGATTGTTTCTCTGGTCACGCGGTCATTTGCTCTGCCCTGGTAGTCAGCAGTCGGGACGGCTAAAGTGTGTCCAAAGTTTGAAGCATTTTCTGCAAACAAAGACAACGGATCGATCATTATTACCGTCCCATGTTTCCAAACAACGGTATGCAGTAGTTTGCCTGTCTCTCCATCGTAGTTCGTTTCTCAGGAGATTCACTGGATTCAATAAATGACGTCTGATGTCACAAGGAGTGGCAGGGATTCTAAAGACTCGTGAGCAGATGTCGAAATTTTAACTAAGGCGAAGGGAAACGTCAATCCCCAGTGGATGTAGGAAACAAGCTTGATGTTGTGGAGCATACATACCCTCTTATTCCGAGCATCTCAGCCGAGAGTAATGGGGTAGGTGTGAATAAGCATAGGTCCTTCTAAATTTTGTCCTAAGGCACATGAAAATCCTCACATTTCGATCATAATTTACGTGCTATTGGCAACGATTTCACGCTTTACATAGTCCAAATCAACTTTAACAACTTTGATCATTTTGACCGTGCACTTCTTCCCCTAAAGACTTCCTAATTCGGAAGAGGTGACAAAGTTTAGAGGTTAATATCTTATAATGCGCACGTTTGCACAAAACAGACAAGGATTTTCAGTGGTATCTACAAACCCGCATGCGTGAGGGGTGGATTCCTTCAAGGTAGGTTACTTTGCTTCCACTTATTTTGCCTATTTGTCAATGGTATATCAGTGTTATTTCGGAATTATAGGCGTCTTATGTATGTTGATGACTCAAAAGCTGCATGTCGATACAAGCTTCTGATCGCGACGTCGTGCGCCAACTTAAAAAAAACTACCTTCAGGAGTTTGTCCAGTGGTGCTGCAAAATAAGCCCTTCATTTTCTTGGCAAAAAGAACCAGCGAAGGTCACCAGCCTCCACTGCTTGTTGGCGACCATGACATAAATTTGCCCAGAGGTATCAAGGGTCAGATTATATCATACTTCAAGAGGCTCAGTCTTGCAGAGCACTGCGTCCTGATTGTCTCCAAAGCACCGGGTTCATATTCTGAAATTTTAAAACCCGCAAAGTTTGAACCAGCCCTTATAAAATGTACGTCAGACCCGGCTTGGAATACCGTTCGTTTTGATTTAGTCTCCTGCACGCTGGCGATTGGAAGAAATTATAGTTTGTTCAGCGTCGCTTTACCTGAAGTGTTTTAACCTCCGGGCACCGAAATTGGACTTATCAAGAATGTTGTGCATTCACGAGTTATGGTGCCTTCTGATCTCGTCTGACCATAATAAGGGCTTCTTCGCTGTTTAAGCTCCCGAGATGTCATGCTTTTAATCCGCTTACGGCTTTTTTACATTGTAACCACCCTCGACGTATCGGTAACGTCGAAGTATTTCTATTTCTTTCTCTTGTACACACAATTAAATGCCGTTAGTTCCCTTCTATTATCGCGATTTCAATCTGAAAAGATTTGGCCAGCAACATAAAAAGTCTGCAAAATATTATGTGTAGAAACAAACTATTTACCATATTCTGCATTCCGAACATGTTCCCCAAGTTAGGGATACTGAATCTAGCGAATTTGTCGCTTGTAGTAATGGAGCACGTCGTCCTTACTGCCTTCGTCTGCTCTCATTTCGAGGGGAAAGGTGTGGACTCTGCACTCTGGTTCCCAGCGAGTAAATCCTTCAGCTTGCGGTGGGTAACTGTTTACCTATATACCCTGTCTGCACGGAGTCTCAGTTCAACAAAAAGGAGTGTAGACTGAAAATCCGACTATAATCGTGCCAAAAATTCCCGTTATGGACTGTCGTCACTGCATGGGCTACGGTTTTTTCTCCTTAATAGCCCTATTCTTCCTGAATAAGAAAGAAATTGAAATTGTCTTTCCACTGTTTCTTCGACCCTCACTACATATGTATATGAAGATAGAAGGCTTGTAGGAAAAAGTTGAGTTGTGCTTGTGCATTTTCGAGCCGGTAACACCAACTCATCGTCGGACGAAATAAACAGAGGAGGGAGCGAAATTGTCAGAGTAAATTGGTTGGCGCGACAGGACAGCCACTGACAGGCAAGCAACTAGTTGTGAAAGGCGTGGGCACATAATTACGCGGGATCCAGGGCGGGGGAGGGGTGGGGGAGCTGTTGCAGCTCCCTGTCTTGGAGGGTAGGGGGATGAAGATTCAATGAGACTGCAAACAGTGGACTGAGTGATCGCCAATCCGACATGGGGACAGAGGTCAGTGCGCCAACGTAAAGGTGTTATGGATTGTAGCTGCGATCCGCTGTGTCTCGGGTAGAGGGTGGCAAAATAGGGGGATTTTAAATTGGCCCCTCTATGGATTATCAGCTTTTGGTATGTAGTGGGTGCCAGACAGTGAACCGGGCACGCAGACCTTCGTAATGAGCGTCCAGATTAGAATAGAACACAATAGGTTTATTATAGCATCCCTTGGCACTGTCAGTCCTTTCTGAACTCCGGAAAAAAACCTAAAACCAACTCATCTATTTCGACTGCACTTTGACTTCATTTGTTTTGGGTGTCTGTCTAGCCAAAAGAGCACGTATTGAGAGTTTGTTTTAATTTAAAAAAACCTGAGTTCTTTAGCAAAATAACCACAAGAATTAAAAAAAGAACGATATGTACAATATAAAAATTGAAGTGTGCAGTTCGGTATTCTTTAAGGGCATAAATAATATGTCCTCCATGGAAATTGAAGAACTTTGATATCGGTCTGACCTTGAAATTGTTTTTGGGTTGGGTTTGTAATGTTTGGGTTGTAATGGGTTGGGTTGTAATTTGGGTTGTAATGTCCCCTGATCTGAGCAGGGTTGTTTGAGTGCTGCGACGCATTTTGGCGCGCGGACCTAGGATGGAGAAGGCATAACCGCGTGCTAGCGAAGATGACCGATGCCCTTCATTCTCACTTCCGCCGACCCCTTCCCCGTATCGTATCGTGACATTCGACCCATTCTCCCTCTTTCCACATCGGCACCTCCCTCGGCCCCTCCCTGCAGCTGCCCACAGAGCTGCGTTCCGCACCGGTTTACTAGCTGCATGTTGGTGTCACCTCTTTACCCAGACAGGTCACTCAATGGTTGTAACTCCTCCTGTTTGCACTTTTTACCATCGTTCTACACCTTTCCAATTCCCTTTTCTGTTAATTATATATTCTTATCCACAGGCCGTTTCTTCTTTATTTATGTACATATGAGTATCGTGACCTAGTAACAATCGTATTGAGATAAACGCAAGCCCGGATCTCTTTCCGGTATTCCGTTACTTGGCTGTGTGTCACCCTTGACGTCCTCGGCCGCTACAGGGTGTCTTCTAGTTGTCGGTTTTCAGTCTATCTGGCCAGCTGTTAAAGGGCGGTCGCACAGTTCCTTCTTGTTTTTCAGAGGGCTTGCCATAGTTGTCTGGACTAAGACCTGGAAAAGATGAATATATTCCAGGAGTAAGAAACATTCAATGGTTAGTCACAATCAAAGCTGTCAAAATAATATTGAATCATGTATCATATAGTTTTTTGAGTGTGAAATTATAGGAGTATAGGTCGACTGTTTACTATGATCTAATATAGTTGTATATATATTTTATATGGCCTTACATTAGACTTACGCACAACTAGAGTGCAGGGTTTTATCGAAATGAATGTTATTACTAGTTTCCTAAAGAATATTTAGTTTCAGATGACATAGCCGATTAACGTGGCGATTGATGCTGGTCGTGTTAGAGTGACAGGTTTCGAGGAATTCTCGAGCCTGTTTGTTGTTTGAGATGGCAACAACTTCAGCTTTTTCCCAATTGGAGCGATGGTCGCATTCAAGGGCGTGCGCAAACACGAGTGACAAGGGGCCATGTCCCAAATCGTGTCTGCTGATTAAGTTGACGTGACTTTCATCATGGAAATGATTGGTTACGTCAATAAAGCCAGCCAAGTCTTTAACTATAGGAAATTATACCTATCGCTCGTGGAGGACACAAAAATAAAATCGCGCTGTGAAAAAGAAGGTGAATAAATTCACTCGACCGGCACTTATAACCCCCGATGACTTCAGATGTATGACTCTCAACATTCCCCGATTTGCACATGTATATGGTCTTCCAACGATACACAAAGAAGGAGCGCCATTGAGGATAATAGTGCCGCTTATTGGGTCGCCCACCTATAACCTCACTAAACGGTTTTACAGATCCCTGAGGCACCTCACTAATGGATCAAAATATAGCATCAAAAGCTCGGAAGCATTTCTCCAGAAGATCCAAGGCCCCCAAGTTGGTCCTGGTGAGTGTATTCTATCGTTTGATGTGGTTGCTCTGTTTTTGTCAATACCTCATGACCTGGCGATTGAGAGTGTAACCCGACGCCTGAAAGATAATTCGACCAGCACTATAATACGACACATTTCAGAAATGACTAGACTCTGTCTCAAGAACTACTTGCAATAAGATGAAAATTTTTATCAAGTGGTTAGGGTACATCAGTGGGATCGCCAGTGTCAGGTCTACTCGCAGAACTGGTACTATAACAACTAGAAAGGGAAGTTATGCGAACCTATAAGTCAAAAATGTGGCTCCGATACGTAGATGATACATTTGTTATCATGAAGACATGCGAAGTTAAGTAATTGCATCAGAGTCTGAATAACTTCTTCTCAGCTATCCAGTTTACTCGCGAAGAGGTAACAGAAGACATTCTCTCGTTTCTAGACGTACGTATCCAAACGCTAAGTGATGGCGCCCTTGCAACGAGACTCTACCTAAAAGACTCCAATGCTGACGTCATTCTAAATTACGGAAACAACCATCCTGCGGCTTGTAAAATGAGCAGTGTCCGAATCCATTTCCACCGAAATCACCGTTACTGCAGCAGCGCTGGTCTAAATAAGAAAGAAGTAACTTTATTGTATCGGTTATTCCGGCTCAACGGACACTGGTCAGCCTTGCGGACAACTGTCTCAGACATCAGAGGAAACGACAAGGCGTTAGTTTTAATGAAGGACCAGAACTACGGAAATTCTACTCTCCATTCTACATGTAGAGAATTCCCGAATCGTTCGTCTGACAAATAAACCGGTTTGGCATCTTCATTGTCCACAAGCTGGCGTCCTCCCTGCGTGCAAAACTATCCCGAGTTAAAGACCCCATAAACAAACAGCAGCAAACCATGATCATCTTTCGCATTCTGTGTGTTAACTGATCTTACGACTATGTTAATCATACAAGCCGACAAATTGAGACGCTTATAAACGAACATAAAGTAGCCATCCTCCGACCTAGCTCCTTGTCACTCGTGTTTGCGTACGCCCTTGAACGCGACCATCGCTCCAATTGGGAAGAAACTGAAGTTCTTGCCATCTCAAACAAAAAACAGGCTCGAGAAATCGTCAAAATTTTGCACTCTAACACGACCAGCATCAATCACCACGTTAATCGGCTATGTCACCTGATACTAAATATTCTTTAGGAAGCTAGTAATAACATCCATTTCAGTCAGTCGGTGTATTTGAGGGAAATAGGCTTACGCCCCTGAACTCCATATTTGCACATAAAAATCGATCAATAAGCAAAGGTGTGAATAAATTACAGCATTAAGTGAATGCAGACATTGATTTACACATGTCACTGGTCTCATGGCTAAAAAGTCACATAGTCCGCTTGGTGCTGCAACATATGTCTGTCAAGCCGACATTTAAATGTTTCCACAGATTGAGACATGATAACCGTCTCGGACAGGTTATTGCTCGGTTCCACGACACAGTTGGAGAAGAAGTATTTTCTCACATTCAATCTACCCTGGGGCACACGTAGCTTGAAGGGATGTCCCCGGAGGTTAGCTCAGTTTAGTTCAGTTTATTGAGGGAAATAGGCGTAAGCCGTTGGGTACCATATTCGCAACGTAAAAAATGTGTGGTATACAGATAAATGTTCTGGGCTGAAATAGTTCAACCACGCCCATAATGGTAGGACAAAATGAGGACGAGTTACAGGGGGTGAAGACTACTCCTCATACCTCTTGGTCATTCTGAAAAATAAATATATCAAGATTCTGTTTAAAACTTCGTATGGATGGTGACATCAAAACATCTGCGGAAAGGAAATTCCATGGTTTGACAACTCGAACAGAGAAGGAGAACTTCCGCACATCCAGCCTTGCCTGCTGAGTTCGCAGTTTAAGCGGGTGACCTCGGAGGTTGGTCATGGTGGCAAATTCAAAAAAGGCTTCGAAGGCCAGACTGCAATCCAACCCCTTTACAATACGGAATGCTTCAAGGGATCCCCGCGAAGTTGCCTGTAACTCAAAGGAAAGAGGTTCAGATTTACTAGGCGGGTTGCATAAGGAAAGGAGCTTTGCCGCCTAACCATCTTTCTGACTCTCCTCTGAACTCTTTCGAGGCAGTTTTGATCCTCAACCGCCCACGGTCTCCAGGCTTGTATGCCGTACTCTAAATGCGGCCGGATGAATGTTCCGAATGTCTTTGAGAAATCATCTTCGTCATAGTCCATAAACGCACTCTTGACGTTGTACAGTACGGACATTGCGGTTTTTGCCACTCTCGAGCAGTGGGCGGATGCTTTTAGGGAACTCGTCATCAGCACACCGAGGTCGTTTAGGGCTTTGACCTCTTGTAGGGCTGCACCGCCCAGAAATTAGTCTCTTTGGCTGGCAGATCTGGCTGTGTTCCCTAGGCGAAGTTTGTTGCTTTTGGAAACGTTAAACCGCAGGAGCCGACTGTTTGACCACTCCTCCAACCGATTTAGGTTCACCTGCAGTTTGTCTTCGTCGGCAGGACCCCTAATTACACTCAATATCTTCATGTCATCGGCACACATTGCTACTTCGCAGTCTAAAGCTCTTGCGGCATCGTCCACGTATATAAGGAAAAAATGGGTCCCAATACTGAAACCTGGGGGACACCACTCTCGACCATAGCAGGATCTGATTTCCCCGGACCGATGCACACAACCTGGTGTCAACCCAAAAGTAAGTTTTCGATCCATTTAAGGAAGTTGTCACTGATCCCTATTTTGTTAGTTTATGTAAGAGCCTCTGGTGTGGCACAGTGTCGAACGCCTTCTGGAAGTCCATGAAGGCTATGTGAATCGCGCGCCTGTCCTCGAGAGCTCGGGTCCAGCTCTGGAGTGATTGCAGCAAGTTTGTTGCGCAGGACTTTCCTTTCCGGAACCCATGTTGGCATTTCGATAGCAGGCTGTGAACTTCCAGGAATTGCATCAGTTCACTCTTTATGATCCTTTCCATAACTTTGCAGAGAATGTATGTCAAGCTTATGGGCCTGTAATTTGTCGTCGCTGCCCTGCTAACTCCTTTGTACAGCGGAGTAATATGCGCAAGCTCCCAATCGATAGGAAGTGTTCCAGTGTCGAATGACTTTTGTAAGAGCATGAACAAAGACACAGAAAACTCACTGTCAAGTTCCTTGAGAAACTTGGGTGAAATCTCAATCAGTCAGTTTTTTCAGTTTGTTCCTGTATGACTTGTAGGTGTTAGAATATTCAACTTGCCTAGTGACGCAGTATTTTTCCCCGATTTGTGCTTCCTGTTGATTTCTTTCTCAAGGCTGCCATTTAGCCACCCAGGGCGTTTGTTCAGTCTTACACTAGTCAGTGGGCAGTGGTTGTTGGTGAGCTGCAGAAGGATATTCTTGAACAGCTCCCAGTCATCGCTGGCATTTCCCGTAAACAATGAGCTCCAGTCGAGACCAGATAAGTCTGCCCTCATCTGATTGTAGTCGCCTCGCCAAACATTCTGCCTTTTTTGGTCTGGACTATGTGAAATGGAGAATAACGAATAATCCCACATAAGCACTACGTGATCACTTTGGCCAAGGGGCGGCATGTAGGTGATCTCGTCTATGTTGTTTGGTGTTTTCGTAAAAAGCAGATCCAGGCAATTTGCCCTTTGTCCTTCACGTGTTCTCGTTGGGAACATTACATGTTGTGTGAGGAGCGCTTTTAATGTTTTGTTCAGCAGACGGTAATTGAATGCCGATTTTGGACCTCACGCTTGGAGGGTATTCCTGTTTGTTTCTGGTGCGTTGAAGTCAACCATGATCATGATGTTAGGGCGACTGTAAAATTTCACCAACTGCTCCAATAGTAGAGTGTCGGCGATATGATCTGTCCTGGATGGTCGGTAGATAGTGAGGACATCCAGACACGGGGAACCGGTAGCCTTGATGGTCAACTTAATAGCTACCGTGCCGCACGCAAACATGGTGGTGTTTTCCGACACTGTCAAGCCCTCATTCACATACACTACAATACCACCACCTTGACGATGTTCCCTGTCCCTCTGATAAATTTGGTATCCAGGCGATGCTACTTCGCTATCGCTAATATTCCCGGACAGCCAGGTCTTGGTTACTGCTAAAACATCTGGAGACAGCTTGGCAAGGCAAAGTTTTAGCTCGTCTAGTTTCGATATGAGGCTTTGGGCATTCGTGTACAAGCACCTCAGTTTTGCACCAGCCGAATTTCCCGTTGCATTTGTCACTATTTTAAGCATTACTCCGTTATCTCGGACGCCATTTTCTCTGGGCTTTTCCGTTACCTGGTGGGTTCCATTTATATCCGTTCCTTCATTCAGATCACTGGACGTTACGGGCTCACTTGTGTTGTCGCCTTGAGCAGGTGGTTCCACGAAGGTGTCTGTGTTAGCTGAGTAGCTGTCGTCGTTCTATGTATTACTGACTGGTTCCACTGAAATGGCATATACTTCCGAACTACTTTCCCTTGAAGATATCCAGATTGTGTTCGCCACCCTTCAGTCTTGATTTTACTTCCAAGCCAAGTTCCCAGCGTTTCAGCCGTTCCGCTGGTGAATAGTCCGGTTGAAAAAAACCTGTTTATGTGTGTTTCTAATGTCAGTTTTTTGGAGATGATCAACTTCATTTGCCCCTTGTTCTCCGAAAGTGCTGCTGTCGTGTCTTAACCTCCTTTTCCTATGCCTTCGGGACCTTTATTTCCATGTCGGCCTTGAGTAATTGGTTTAGCAGACCAAGAATAGAAGCAAGGTCTTCCGAGACACGATCTTCAGGTGTGACTGCATTCTATTCCAACAAACCCTGAATAAGCAGACACTGCTGGCGAGCATGGTCATCCTTACTTTTTCTTTCCAATGAATTCGCTGCATGGGGGCGAGGACGATTTACAGAGTCGTCGCTTGGACGCACACTTTTGCTTTCTACCGACTGTCCCGAGCAACCTATCAGGGCTGGCTGTGACTTCAGACTCCTGCTATGGCGTTTCCCTCTCCCCTCTACTCACGGGTTCATGTCTTCGCAGTCAAATGTGTGCTCTATAGAGCACTCGGTGTGGTTGCAAGAGCGGGAGGACAACGATAGACTGAGTGACCTAGTTATATTATCTCTTGGAAAAAAAATAAATCCCGTCACTTTTAGAAAGATGAGTAAGCAAGAGGCTCCCGCGACAGGTAATATTTTTGCAAAATCGCTTAGGTCGTCTTGCGTAAAAATCGAGTCTGCCCGTATCGGCGGCTGTGCCATCGTTATCTTGCTGTTACCGGTAACCGCGTCTGTACTTGCTGAGTTGCTACCTTGTTTCTGCCTTTTGTTTTTGGACTCTAACGCTGGCAACCTTCTAGTCATCAAGGTTCTACTGCATGAGCGTCCTTAAGTCAGCGAACTCGTTTTCGAGTTGTCTCCCTTTGATTTGAATATTTGTGCACCCACCACATGGTCCATCCTCATATTTCACACTTTTCGCTGTGATTACGCTTTTCGTACGACTTGCTGATCGTTGACTAAAAGGGCACTTACAACGAGCGCAGATTGTGGATGCAAAGGAAATCTCACCAGAGTTATCTTTTGAGGATGTACCGGCGCTGATCGTACTATTACGAGTAAACTACTGAGACTCCACAAACTTCGGGATGAGAGAATTGATATATTTTCGCTTTCTAGGTTATAACGAATACTTCGGATTCTATATGGGAAATTAAGTGAGTATTCAAAACTCACTGGAACTCGAGGGAACCTCAGAAATCACTCAAAAGCTTCGCTACGGATCTACAGGATTCGGAGAAGATGATGTGTGTTGTCCTCTCAGACTTCATATATGCTTATCTACTTCTTCACTTGCTTCTTTGGAGCAGGTTATACTGGTCGTACAAGTTGGTGCCTATTCAAAAGAATACGGGAACACGTCCGTACATAGCTGGGAAAAGGTAAAACCGAGAGCATAAAAAGCGCTTTACTCACACACGTTGTTGTTTCCGTGCATCCTGTAGACCTCAGCGAAGCTTTTAGCAATCAGGTTTCGAAAATCGGTCTTGTCCGCGCAAGAAACCTCATTCAATCTCCGCGCTTAACGTGTCGACTAAATGGAACTCTCCCTGCCCTCCCCCACTCACATCGCCTGTTTTAAAAACGAACTTTACTCGACGTGTTTGATTTGTTACCCTGTTGTCATATAAATGTAGTGCCTGACGAAAATTTATCGAAAACAAACGTATGCTCACCAACTAACCTTTCGAACAACTTTTTATGTACTTGTTACAGTCCTGCCATACAGGTCCGCTAACAAACAATTTAAATCATATGTCCAGATAGACCGAATCATCTCATACACGCTATCGATAAATAGGAGGCTTAAAACATAACTCATAGTAAACTTTTTTTCTGGGAAATTTAGGAATCTCAAGGGTCCGACGGTATCTTTGCAACGGTAGCGCAACTCATGAGTCTTATGCATCAATCTCTGCTTAAATGAACTATACAGCGTTGCCACTCAACTTTACATAAGCCCGAAAACTTAAAAAATGAAAACCGTCGGGAATACATTTGACAGACCCACATAATGAATCTCGTTACTTAAATTCTTCTTCCTTTTCTCTGACATTTTCGAGCTTTCCTTTTAGCGGAATTGTTATTTAAAGTGCAACTAGCAAATTCCTACTGTAATTTCGGAGGACAGCTAACTGAATTCATGGCGATCTAGTATTAAAGCGTCACCAACTGCAGGAAACCGGTTTTAAGTACGTCTGCTCGCCTGGACTTAGGCACGCCGCACCATATCTATTAGCCTAAGATAGGGGTTTACATGAAGCATGATTGTAGTCACCAACGGCAGCACCGGAAACCAGCAAATAAATGGGGTCGGGCGAGCTAAAATACGAAAAGGTATGTTTGGGCTCGCAGTGCCACACTACTTGGTGTAGAAAACCTTTCTCCTATCCCGCGAATACGATTCATTTGGTAATTTTCGTCTGCTCAACCGCTTTTCGCTTGATAGACTGTCGATGTTACTTTTTTCGGTTTCTCTACATAAGGTGTGCTCGTACTTTTGTTCATTGCTCTTCTTGTCCCACTGACATTCGTACTCCATGGTTGTGAGCACTTTTTGTCAATTTCATACGAGCACTTACATCCACTGCACGCTGTTCGTCCACCTTTATCAAAGCGCATCTGTTAGAAAACCCAATCATACCACCCCGGACACGCCAACCTGTATGACTAACTGAATTCCAGGGCCACTTCAAAGCATGGGCCTCCTTGACACAGATTACCGATACCCAGATATCATAGCAGTACACGGACTTCCTGAATGACCTGCTATTTCAGACACCTTAGAGGCTGACTCGTTACTTGCAAGACACCTGGCCCCTTACGAAAAAAATGCCGCCTCTTTCTGACCTCTGTGTTTATCGAGTCAGGAAATGTAGGTTTATTATAGTGGTTACAGTTCTTAAATTACCTTGACTGCCACCAGCAGCACCAACGGGCTTAGGATTATATGATATTCGGTGACAAAAAGTTAAGATCACCGACCATAGGTTAATGACACGAAGGGCCAAGACGTTATTAAATGCGTTTTTTACAGTCGTGAGAACGGCGTTCAGGTCTGCATAGTATAGGAAGGTTTGGGTGTAAGGTGCATTAGCAGTCCCCTAACTAGAGGTGCGTTTTTAGGAAGTGAGCTCGCCTTCTGGATTAATACCTTCAGTTGGGGAGCCTTACGTTACTTCCTAGAAACTGTTTACCCAGCTTTCGCATATTGGGGAAAACAAAATGGCAAAAACACAGCTGCAAATAGCGAGCTGATTGCATAGCTTAACTGGAACTCTAAGAATCACTCCAGCCTTATCATCAAACCAAATACATAAATTTATCTGTTAACCGAACCCTAGCGGAGAAAGAAGTCGAGGTAACATCCAGGGAAAGGGATGGTGCCGATAATTATCTTTAACCGCAGATTTTGCCCATTGCTTTAACCCTCCTGTATACACAGACCACGCTGAACATCTGATGATCACGAAGGCAACCCCAAACCATTAAAATGGTGCAAAAATTATTCATAATTCCTGGTAGTTCTTCTAATAAATGATCATCCGAATATAGTTTCTGGGTTTTACAGAGTCATCCGGTTGCCAAGTCCCAGTGTGCTAAGTATGAGTGGACCTCTGGTCAACGGACTAAGTGAAAACTGATTTCCTGTTAAAAAGAACAACGAATTCCTCTCGAACATTCTTTTTGCTATTGAAAGCCTTAAAATAGGGAAGTCCATAGATCGCGCTTGTTGGGTTGTCTGTTTATCAAGCCTGGAATGTTTGGCACAAAAATAATAAAAGAAGATTGTTGCGTTTAATTGGGCAAAGCATTATGAAAAAGAATCCCTCAAAATGGATTGGAAAACCGACCAACTAAGAAGAGCGTTTGATTTTCTAGGTTAGCCAGTTCGTAGTGTATGAATTTGGTTATACTGTAGGCTCAGCCTGCTATTCGCATTCAAGAAAAAACATGCGTTTAAATGCCTCCTATTGCTTACTACAACAGAGTTCCACATGTTTTGTAGAGAAAAAATACGTGCAAATATGCTGCATTCAAACCCTTTTCAGGATATACATTTATAACCCAGTTCTTCCTTCGGCTGTCATAACAAGTGTGCCATTTTCCGTTCCAGATAACGGCACATACGACTGAGATTCTTCGTTAGATAGAGGTCGGATTATCGCTGAATTAATTTTTCCAAAAATAGATTAGTGCTGTTTAGAAAAGTAGAGACATCATTTTTTCGTTGAAACCAAATTTCACCCTAAAGAAGAGTGATACCCTGCTGGGCATTCGGACTGCCATACGACCGTCGCAAAGACTAAATCAGCCGATAACTGTGCGGAGCAGTAATATTCCGGAAATTTTGATAATTGTCAAATTTAGCTTCAATCAGATTTCGTCGACTAACACTCTGGATCTGAATGCCATCGCAGCTGAGGCGCTAGGCGTCCCAACCTAATTTCAGCCTGAAGCTACCGATACCAGCTCATGGTTGTGACTCAATGAACTGGTTATTAATAATTTATTTGGTTCCCCGGTTCGCGGCTAAAATTAAAGTATCGATCACAGTGCGTGTGAATTGTGGTGTTCAGAAGGCATTAACTGACTAAGCTTGAAATTAGCCCTAATTCACTTGGCGAATGTCGACATGAGAGATTATATCGGCCTAATGTTCACCTCATCTATTCTTCGATTCTTCATGGCTTGCGAATAACCAATCAAACAGGAAAAAGTCAATAAGGGTCTAACTTAAACATTTAGGGTATTTTTGATTCGAACCTGGTAAGTATCTACGCTCATTTACAGTAAGAAGGTGGTATGTTTTTGGTCCGGTCAGTGTGTAGACCTGGAAAAGACAGGCAAACGTAAAATATCGCTGGGTTGGCCATTAATGTTGTAATGCGACCGCCCAGAATTAAGCGATGAGTATACGCCCGTCCTATCCAAAGAACTGAGTCAATAGTAATTGACTTTCTTAATGGCACTCTACTTCGGGGAGAAAGTGTAAGTACACACACGACTTAAAGTAATAATCTTTTACAAAATCGTTCTTTCATCGAAGACAGTGTTCGTTTTTATCGAGGCCGACCGTCGGTCGCATTGGTTTTCTCATAGTTCAGAAGTTGTTTATAAAGCAAATAGTACGCACTGAGTGACTCCAAGCGTTTTAGTCAGTTTGATTCATTTAATCCAATTTTTCTTCGGGATACTGACTCGTCCAGTCCGGTTTTTACGGTGCTTATGTGAGGCCCTACCTTGACTTTATGTCCTGCCTGACCTACTGCGAGCCTTCGTGCCTTTCTTCACAGCTGAGTAAAGTTAACGGGCAATATTAGTTTTCAACGGGACTAATGTACGAGAATAGAAACTTAAAAAACAGGTCACGCCTGCCTAACTGCTCACAAGTGCTACGAAGAAAACTCGATAAACAAAAAGATGTCGTTTATCAGCTTTCTGGGAATGGACCCAACCCAGAAAGAACTCTAATTATTGTTACTAGAATTTCAAAGACCACGCCAAGGTCGAATATATGCTGGATATCAAAGAAAACTACAGCACTAGGGGGTAACTTGCACAGTAGCTGCATCGTTTGTGTGTTGCAAATACTGCAACTGTCAGGCCTAGGGAGGAAAAGGTAGATGCGAGTGAAAGACAAACCGCCTTCTACTCAGAAAGGAGAAGGACAAATCAAAGAAGGCCTCCATTCTTGGCGGACATCGAGCAGTCGCCCACAGGAACCAGCCATGAGTGTGCGCGTGTTGGTTAATTCAAGCAAAGAGCTACTGATTAAAGGTGGACGACAGCCATTTGCTGGCAGGATAGGTGAAAATTTTGACGTGAACGCTGGCGTTACCGCTGACTGGCTGGAGCATAACATAGAGCGCCCAAAAGCGGCGCTTAACAGCTTCCTTCGAACTTTTTAATAAAGGACTCCTATGGAAACTCGATTCCCGAGAAATTAATCACCTGAGAGGAACGAATAGAACCGATCATTTAACTACATGTATTTCTCCTGAAAAAACGCCAGTAGTATGTATTCCCTCCAAAATATTATAGCTGGAGTTGAGAGGTATGCCACCTAACATTAATCTCACTCAGGAACCTCAGTTATGGTAGTAAAGGAGTCTCCTTTTCACATCAGCAGTCGATTTCTAGAAAATTGTTCGGGTAGTTTTAAAATTTCCTTCATCCGAAGTATTGTGGTTTTGAAGAAATGACGAAATTATACAAGCATTATGTAAGATCGCCAATGATAAGGGGACGACATGATCTATAAGTACACGAATAAAAGTCCATGACCCATTGAGTTCGTTTTTGTTATAGTGTGCTCACGGTTTTTTACGGACACTGTTCCGAGTGTTTCTGAATTCTCTCTGTGGACATTAACGCGTTTGCAGAGAGGAGTGTCAGCAGAAAAATGTCCGCGATTACTGTAATTCATAATAAGGATAAAGCAGTCAGCGATAACCTACACTGTCTTTTTGATCACTTTTGTTGTATAGGCGGCATGCGGTGACTTTGTCGTTCGGTAATCGAACCTTGAGGACCAAATTATGAGCGTATAAGAGTGTTATTTTATGCAAAGTTTGTCTGCATAAGCAATTACTTTTGTATGACGTAAAGGGTATATGGTGTAGAAAAAAAGCTAGCTTACAGTCCACATCTACTAAATAGTTTGTAAAGAAATTGCTTAACTAAAGTGCAAAATGGAAGAAGGACAAGAATGCTATTACTACAGAACCAAGGACTGGAATGAATGTAAACGAGATTAAAAGGAACTGAGACTCCTAGCAGTAAAGCTGTAAACCGCACGAAACGTTTCGTGTCAGGAGTGAATATGGTTTTTTTTAGGGAGACGCAGACTCTTTTGACTGCGTCCGATCAGCGGTTGCCGAAAGTTCAGCCGTAATTTCCGACAATATCCATCGTGTGCTTCCCAGCAGAGCGAAAGTAGGGAGGGTGACATGATCGTTAAGTCTTTTATGGTAATAGTAGGCTTGTATTGCATCCACCGCACTCACCCTCTCTCTCCCACCTGGGTACGGTGTCATGACGGAGTCAAGAAGACCGGAGGCGGGAGAGGGCGCAAGTGGCTAACAAGACGAAAACCTGCAGCTAGGCCTACGATCACACTCCCTCGTCTACAACGTACAACTCAGCAGGATTTTACGCAACAAGAAAGGTGGCGATTTGAACCCCAACTGGCCCGGCTTGGGCCCGCACAAAGACGTGCGTTCACATCCCCAATAATCGCACGTGTTATTGGATGCGCAGTCCCAATAACGCCTGTCTGATCTTGATCTGACCCTCGCTTTAGTCGAGCACATCAATCGTATTGTCAGTTTTAAGGCAAAAGCAGTCACCATTTAACAAACTGATAGGCAATAAAAAGGCGCGGGTCGATTTCGTTGGAAATAAAAAGCATTTTCGTTAATAACACTTAATCCAGAGTAAATATCCGCGGGAATACCGACTTTTGTGGTAGCGGGTCTTTTAGTTAAGAGTGAAGGTAAAGCAAATCTGTCTGAAATACAAGATAAAATGACAATGTAGCAGGAGGATGAACAAGATGCACGTAAAATGGAATAGGACTCATAGCCGAGGCGGTCCTACAACGGTTGTAGTCGTTAGTTTTTCGACAGCACAGACCGAAATTTTGGGCTCTGTATGTAGACGATAACTTTGTCGTCATCGAACGGGATCAGGTACAGACACTCAAACAACGCCGCAACTCCGTTTTCCCGGACAGTCAACTTACGATGTAGGAGGAAGGAAACAACCTGTTAGCTTTTCTGGATGTCCTAGTTTTCCGCAAAGATCGTGGTGGCCTAAAGACCAAAGTGTTCAGGAGAGCGACACACAGGACGTAAGCACAGAAGTTCAACAGTAACCACCCGACTGGTCACAAATGCAGTTGCTTAAGAGCGCTTTAGCGGCGCGTTGAGGAGCGTTGCAGTGAAATGGAAGACAGGGTCGCTGAATCACAATATCTTCGATGGGTACCCAGAGTTAATGGCTGCTCGCGCAACTTGGTCAACCAGTGCGTACGCAAACGAAACCAGAGGCCAGAACCAACCGGTTCTATTCAGTGAGTGAGGTACGTCTTGTAAGCCATCAGTCGACGTCTCACTCCACCTGGAGTTGGGGTTGGACACAGGCTGGAAGAAACCATCAGGCTCCGAATCATGAGACTGAACGGCCCGCTGCCACGCTGGAAACGGATCTGGTGCAGTTGCGGACAGACCAACTACGTCGGAAAAATGGGAGGTTTCTCCAGACGCCGGGACTGAGCACGTAGCAGCAGTGAGGAGGAAAGACGTTAGCTATCAAGTGGCGGCTCATTCCATGGAATCCGACCATATTTTCGAGTTTCAGGAGATTAAAATCCTTGCAAGAGCTGACAAGAGTGTGAGCCGCGAGCTGCTCGAATCATGGTTCTCAGGCTCGCAATTCATCAGCAAGTGCAATGACCTCCCGACACCATATTCGGTGCTGAGACATTACCTGGCCAGGGGAATCAGTCACGTGGGAAGGGCGCGGGCGAGCAACAATCCCGATGACAGCGGACCAAGTAGTTGATTTATCATCACGCCAACATCCAATACGCATGATGTTGCAGCAATTAACGACTCGGACGCGGACTGACGAGCCATCGTCGCCCTGATTACGATTCCCAGCGGTGATCACGAGAACTGTTAAGTAAAGTACGCATTTGGTCCCACGGCAGTTACTTACTATAAATATTGCAGTCTTTGTACCCCCAGTGTCTTTATCTGCGACCGTCTCTGATAATGGGTTCGCGTGAGGATCCGAAAAGTCAGGCCAGTAAACTTCTTGCTCTAGTGATCGCATCTTTTTTTCTTCTTCATCTTCTTCCAAAACAATGTTCCTTTCAGTCCCGTGCGTATTCGCACTGCTCACTTTGCTGATGCGATTGCTCCAGTAAGGTGCTCGACAGAAATTTGGACTTTAGCAGTCAAACTACATCGCCAGTATGTAAAAGTGCACCCTCTGGTGTACAAACTTTATGCATAGTGATCCTAAAGAAGTGCAGAAATCGTGACGACTGCGTTTCATGCATTGATAATGAGCTCAGAATGCGTGCTCGTTGTTTTCACTTCCGAATAGCTGTAGTCACTATACGTTTAAATAGAGTTACGAGAGCATACTTTAGTGTAGGACATACAGTACAGTAATAAGAGCATGGTAGTTAACGTCTGTTGACGCTCATAGGGTGGGCACGGGTATAATTACTACCCTTCTACTATAGGTGGCTTTGCGCTAAATTTTAGAAGGTACGTATTTCTGTGTCCCATTTCTGGCTATAACTCTAAGCATGGCCTTGAACCCAGCACGAACTCCGATCCTAACTCCTCTGGAAATTAGCGCTAGCCCATGTGCACTGCGAACGGAGTACCTATAACATTGCCCCATCTGCCTATACTCTAAATAATTATCTAAAACAGCCAGATGGACTACCCTCTAACTCTTGGATCAACGCCAGGGCCCAGTCGTCCAGTTCAAACAGTTTGAGTCAACAGACGTTCAAATGTCCTCATATTGTAATGCTTTCACTGAGCCTTCTCCGCCTTACTGAGCCAGACTGTAGTAAATTCTACGAAAACATATTAAAAGTCGTTGCTTGGAACGAGGATTAGGCTGCAGTTATTCCTACTTACAGAAACTATTATGGCACCTCTCAATTCTGGGAGATCCTAACTTGGGATCCGAATTTGGGTTGCGTGCTAGACAGTGACTTTAAGTCGCGTCAGCCACCATACCCAACCGCCTTCCCAGTCAGCTTGAATTGGACAAGATTTATGGGAGATGGGATATCAAGTGATTCCGATGCAGCCCAAATCCAACGTCCACTTTTCTCAATATAAACGGCTATATGAGCTTAGTAACTATCACTATGAGCTAAAAGGCATAGATTGAAAGATTGACAAATAACGAGATGTGCCCGTCCTACTCCGAACCGAGGGTTGAGGTGCAACAGTTCTTTCAAAGTGTGGTCTTTATGATATTCTAGCTCATGTTAGACCCTAGACACTTTTACCGAAGCCTAGTAGGCACGGAGTCAGGAACCAGGACATGTATGACACACGTAGACGGGCTTTTTGACTTTGTTAGTCAGCACGTTCACGTTCGTTCCCAGCCATCTTGACTTTGTAGTGTCATTTTAATATGTTGGAGTTGGGAAGAAAGAGTGTGACGGGTACTGCGGGAGGCTGTTTCACTAAGACAAATTCACACGCCAGTTACCACCGCGTCCTACCTGGGATGCTGGTGCACCTCTCCGCTCGAATGTATGACAAGAATACGAAACAAACTATGACTTAAACTGATCAGGACCGTGCTGATATGAAGCTTTCGTCACATCGTCTCCCCGACACTATAAATAATGGAACCTAAAGCACGTCGAACTATTATAATAATTCCGTCTTCGAGTTTTCAACAACGACACCTTAAAAACATCATGAAAACAACAGCCAACGGAATTTGTCAGTCTCACTCAATGAGGACTATCTGACTTGGCACAAGGAATAGGTGCTTTTTGGAAGCATAAATATGATGGAGAAAACTTGCATAACATCGGATTTACTCTATTTCTCTGTCTTCCTCTTCCCGCCTCTAGCAGGTAACAGAGCTAAGAATTAGTCATTTAACCGGAAATAAGATTTGATGCATTATTCAACAGAAAAAAGGACAAGTTAAAGGTTGTTAACTAACTTACGTCGTAAATTACTACTGTATAGGCCTGCTCTGGAAGAGCTCGCTGGTGACGCTTCGGCAAATAAACACAGGTGTTTTCGAAGTCCAGTTGATTCAGCCAAAAACATGACTCTGGAATTAAGTCCCTTGACGTTTGGCAATGAGTAGGCCATCTAACTAAAATTATGCTTGCTTTCTGTCGAAAAGTTGTGGCACTTGAAAACGGCATGTTCTTCTGGGGCCCGTATTCAACAGTGCGTGGTTGCGCAAATCTGAACTAGTTACAGGACTCAACCCTCATGATCATCAAAGTCTCCACAAAAGCCTCTATAAGCCTTATGTAATCTGCGGCTGTCGTCTTTGACAGACAAAGGCGACAATAACGTAGGAAAGTGACCGATGTTCGGGCATAAAACCCCAATATCTGACCTACGGTGTCACAGTCGTGTCACGAGGGTAAGCTTTTTAAAGTTTTGCCCGCGGGGACTTGGGTATTCTACAAAAGTCATTCACAAAAAAAACAAAGCGTTTCTACTTATGAAGCGAGAAAGTGCTGCCACGAGTGATGGTTTATCATAAAGGTAGCGACGAAGTTGTGTTAATTTTCTATTTCTCCAATAACTCGGATGGACCCCAAAATGTAATGACCTACTCTGAGGGGCCTATTATTTAGATGGAAAGCACTCAAGAGAAATTAAATACCCCAATGTTTCTTGCGGCAAAAATTCTCCGCTGGCAAGAGGAATAGGTCCCCGACTTTGATCTAACGGAGCAGCAATTTGTCATTCCGCACTGAGAGAATATGTGATTTTCAGGAGGGGTTTGGTGGTGTTTAGGCCGGTCACGCACTCTAGTGAAGGCATTCCGATGGGAAAAGGTCTTTGCGATAACGGTTTCATAAGAAGTAACTGGATCTACCATGAACACCGCATACCCAGTAGTCTACGGTACATAAATTACACGTATTCCAGATACCGGGATGAGTATAAATACAATTAAAGAGAGTTTTGGTTTGAAAGCTTGAAACATGAGTACATTCTGACGCATTTGGCTACTTTTTTTCATTTGTCTTCAAAAAGCATGTGTCTTTTAAAAAAGTTTGTCAGAAAGTCGCAAACATGGATGAGGATGATTTGAACGGTTGTGTCAACTAAGTGATTTCAAAAACGTACTCGTCAAAACTCCACCAGCAAAAGAGGTAAATCCTGAGTTCGTATGACATACTGATTTCTTTTGGCGCATTTTATTGTTAAGCTTGTTGTACCTCGCATAAGCTGTATATATTTTACCATCACCAAAAACTAACGAGAACATGCCAGAAACGTAGCACCTTTTGGTAAAATTTTCGAACGAATGACGTCAGCCAATGGACTTCTGTCTTAGACTTGGTTTCAGTAACATGGCTACGCATGGGAAGGCGTAAAGATGGTTAGCAAATGGGACACCTTTCGATAAAGTGCGGGAAACCTCTTAAGCTAAGAACCCTGTGAGCGATAATTTGCTTTCCTCACGGTTTTGCTTAAATGCAACTTTTTGTGATCACGCAAACCATGAAATGTTTACAATCAGGTCAGTGTCATCTGTGCGGTCGAGGATTGGGAAAAAAGTGCCCTGCCCTATCAAGCGTGCACATACTAATGCAATGCCAAGGCGAGAATTTCATCCGTTTCATCATGGGACTAGACTTCTAGTGGAACATAGCACTTACAGACACGACACCACCCCTGTGTGCATTCTGCTTTTGACCCATGAACCAGTATTGTGCTATGGGTTCGATCGGGGAAAGACGGTTAACACCAAAATATCCGGTAATATGCTCTGCACGAATAGCACAGCCGCTTCTGTTTGCCTGTGCTTGGACAGCAACAACGAAAATCATCGCAGGTACCTTTGCTGTTTTATGGTCCCATCCACATGCTTCAGAGTGAAGCGATCTGTTCTATATTTTTGGCCATACATGCACCCGCTCGTGATCTGTACAGAAACACCGGCTAAAAACGATGAAGATACAGCTAGTCATAAAATTGCATCTAAACGTAGCCAGAAATAAGCTTTGATTCGACTTAACCCTTGGGCTTGCTTTGAACCAGTGAGACAGACAAAAGAACAAACATGAATCAAAACAGTGAATAGCAAAATTTGAGGAGCTTTTTGTCTGCTGTTGTACAGAATTAAACAAAGTAAGAACGCACGTGGTTCAGAAGTTGGAGCTGGCCGAACCAAAAGAAGCAAGAGTTCAGTCGGATACTGATCATGAAAAGACATACATTCAAAAGGAAAAGAAGAGGCTTTTGGGGAAGACGAAGATGCAGATGAAAACGGAGTCACATTTTCCACTTCTCTGACTCTTGCTCGTTGGAACGAGAAGGGAAGTTGCGGCGTGAAGGGTACTGATAGAGGAGGTAGTGGAACATTCTAACCTAGACGAAACACGCACAGCAACCACCTGACTTTTTGATCTTCTGCTGCCAGATGACGTACTTGTGCCGTCCTCCGTCGGGAGTGACGGCGATCCAGTTTTCTTTGATGTGGTCAACTTTTGGAATGTTTTTTTCGTCCTCAAATGTACGACTCCGCCAGCCTAGACCATACTCCCGATCGAGCTGCATCAACGTCTGGTGCACGGAACCACTCGCGTCCTCGTCTTTCCACTCTCGTTTGACAATTTCCATGAGTCGGGATTTCATAGGATCTTTCATTGGGCCTCCGAGACATTTGCAATCCTTCGTGGGCTGCGGTACAGGCGCTGGGGATCTATGTGAAAAGAAATAACTATGCTGATTCATAGCTAACTTTCTTACTCTCCCGGATTCACGGGACAACGCCGTATCAAGGAATTCAGTGCTGTATGTTCTCGCTTATCAGATCTCTCTAACTGGTGGATAAGAATGGACTGTCAAATGAGGGAATTTAGCTAAACTTCCCTTACGTACGGCCTTAAGTGACTGCCCATCTTTTGACGTGAAAATATATTTTGTGCCTCGCAAAGTGACCTATTGTTAAACCGCAACAGATTGTAAAGCTCGGTGCCTTCACTCCTGCACATTTCAGTCTTCATCTACTTCTCAAGCAAGCAATGCGTCTAAATTTGAGCTGCGGGCGGGTATGCCGCACTTATCTGTAGTCAGGTTTTACAGCACTTATTAATCCTTTGCACTGACCGCGAACTCTGTTGTTGAACCCAAACATTTTCTTCGGATTCCTCGTGCCCCTAGTAATTTGACATTGCAGAAGTGCGTTTGAGCTTTTGGTTACGCAAAATCTGATCTTTCGTTTTCTTAACAGATTTTCTTGGCCATTTTACTAAAGAACGAAAGGGTAACTTCCTCCGGTAATGATTTAATAACAAATGTTAGCCTTCAAAATAAAAGTAACGAAGCTTCTTTTCAGCACTTCAGGAAAGATACACTGCATATATTTAGCTTATGTGAACAGTAAGTGGCAAGTAACAATTAATTTATTTAGGCCAATGCATTTTAGCCTCAAAGAAATCCAGCTTGTTGGGTCTTCTCCGTTATTCAGTATGCTTTTTCTATTGTTACAAATCATTCATTTGACTCAGTCGTGAAAACCTCGGCAGCCTTTGTGGGATTCGAACACACGACAGAAAGGGCAAGACATTTATACAGCGTTGAGTAGGGCGATGGTTGTATTTAAATCCCACTTTTTCTGTCGTGGGTTCAAATTCTACCGAGACCGTCGGGTTTTTCACAGTTACGTCAAATGAACCATTTAAATCTGCCAAAACGTCCATCAATTTGATAAAGTTTGAAAATTATTAACGTCCAACTTTTTGTCATTTTATGTACTGTCTTTTTTCCACTGCACCCTGCAAATTACAAGAATTAGAAACGATATAATATAGCTCTCCAGTTGGCTGAATTTGCAGTTTTATATAGGTGCAATTTATGTCTAAAATTCCTACGGAGACAGTGACATGACTTTGTCTACAACCAGACCTGAGATTGTTTGCACAGTCACAGGCAGATACCGTTTAAAAATTAGATATGTTCCAATAGAATCCATACTTTCTTATGCATATCTTATCTTACTGCGAGCAGTAGCGAGGGTTTGCTGAAAAGGAGCCCGGCTGAGTATAAGTCGCTTTTAAAATAACATATCGGCAATACAATAATATCATTTTCTAGTACTGCATTTCAACTGTTTTTCCGTTAACGTCGTTGCCTTTGTTAATACTAACGGGGATGTCATAGTCAAATAGAGACCGGATAATGTGGAAAAATATTCAAATGTTTCCTGATTATCCTGTACAAAATATATTTTCAAAGAAAAGTTAAACGAACTAACTACATTTGTGCATATGTGGAAGAAATTAACTCTTCTTGTTGCTTTCGGGGACGCATAAAACTTCCAACGAAAAAACTGAAAAATATTGGTATTCTATGGTAACGACCAGGCCTGTGACTACCTAATCGGTGTAAAAAGGGAACATTCAATTTATGAACGGACTTTTAATGAGTGGACTTTGCTGAAAGCTTTGTCCGGCTAACTGACACTGGCACTCCTTTTCCAAAGAAGTCAAGGTTGCTGTAGCTTATTTGCTACGGTGGAAAGTTCGGTCGCTTTCGTACCCAAGTAACTCCCGGCGGTCTTTGCGACTTTTTACCATAATAATTAAGTTCAGTATTTGCCACTAACCGCCGTAACGTTAAGTTGACATTTGACAACTGTGTGCCGTGTCTGAAAAACGATTTAAACTAGTCCCAAAGTGGTTATATTTGTCACGTCCTCGCTTGGGAGCACTTTTGTTGGATAATTCCTGCCCGTAAAGGACTATCACCCTCCTCTCTATTCTGTTAAATTCTGTTTATACGTTTAACACATTTGGTCATCAACTACGGAATATGCTCTTAGCTATCCTTACATTTTGAAAGTCAGTCCGCGCTTGTCATAAAGCTTCTAGACCGTCTATTTATTTTTCCAAAAAAGGACCCTGTATGTACTAGCAAACTTGTTTTCAAAAAGGACTGCTCAACATACGAAGAAATTACAAATTACTCAAGCAAGATTTTCGAGTTTATTCTACACAAAATTCAGTTTGTTCCCCCTATCTAGTAGTAAAGGTTTCTTCGGTCTCCCTAAGAAAACATTACACGATTAGTCGGCCAGTACGAATAAGGATTTGAAGGATACCTCCGGCAGAAACATTTCTTTTGTCAGATATGGATAGACTCCTGTTAAAATATAAGTGGCATCTGAAACCGTAGGCAATATAAACTGAAAATAGCAGTACATTCAGATCACGCCTTTCTTGGGGAAAATCTGAATTCACTCTCTTTTCTTATGATTTTAACCTTAAGCTGACAGTTATATCTGCAGATTGCAGGACTCTGCTGGCAAGGTACAGTAGGTGGGCTAACTCATGAAATGTCAACCGAAATTCCGAAACGATTAAGTAGGCATGTAACACTAATCATCATGCAGTGCAATACCATAATAATTCAGTTACCTCAGGATGCAGGCTTTTGAACGAACTTCTTACCGGATGCATGCAAAAACTACACTGCACAAAATGGCTAATTAAGTGGCACGCATTTGTCTCATTGATTTTCGATGCCCTTGGAAATTCCATTGTATTTCATTGAAGACAGGCACAAACATATTCAGTTTTCGCCCACTCAATAGAAAATAACGTCTTATTTTAATTTAGTGCTAGAAGGAAGGGTGTAATTTGGTCTTTAAAAACCTTTCCAATAATTTGGAACCCGACCTGCCGTTAAAATTGCATTAAGGGTTTCCAAATTGCAAGCTGGGTCTTTTTCGTGTAAGAAAAACCATGCATTTCTCTACGGTGTTTAGAGGAGACTATAGGGGTTCATAAAATTCAACAGTGCAGTTGAGCCATATTGTTATCTTTACAAGCCACATTGGTAAATGCAGAGGCATGACGTTTTGTGAACGACAATTTCACGCTCTTAAAAAAATCTCACAATAATAAGCATTTTAAAACCTAATTATGCAATTTAGTCGAACACAAAATTGGAAGAAAACCTAATTTTCTATCGAATGGGCGAAAGAACAGATATTTATGCATTTTTTCTATGAAGTACAGTTGAACTTCTAAGCTCATCGGGAATCAGTGAGAAAAATGCATGCTACTTAAGTAGTCATTTTATGCAAAGTGTGGTTTTTGCAAGCAGCTGGTAAAATGTTCGTTCGAAAGCCGGAATTCTAAGGTAACTGTATTATTATAGAATTATGCTGCATGATGATTAGTTTTACAAGCCTATTTAACTAATCTTTTCGGAACGAAGACGCATTTCGGAATTTCGGTTGACATTTCATGAGTTAACCCACCTACTGTAAGTCATTATGAGTTTCGCTGCTCCGCTGTTTGGCTGACAGTTTTGCATAAAATGGTCAATATAATCACCTCTTTAAACTTAACTCTTACACAGAGACGTCAGCCTCGCTTAATTCAATACTATAATTAATATTCCACCTAGCCAGTCCGAATATTGTTGGTTATTCTTAAAAGTCGGGTCGAAAATGTCGCTGTTGATTGTAGTCAGCCTCAACCAAAGGATTGCCTTCGATCGATGCCCCCTAAGACCGATTTCCAAACAATGTGTAAACAGGCAGGAAACCTTTGAAACTCTCTCCTATGGAATTCAAACGTTTACTGCTACCAAGCGCTAGAGTACTGTCAAGATTCTGGTGATTCTGAAATATCCCGCGATCATACCGCATGATGATCAATGCTACAACCTCATCTAAGTAATTTTTCCCAATCGAAAGCTCATCCCAGAATTTTGGCTAACATTTCATGAGACCGGTCACTGGTTGTAAACGCAAGTACTTTTTCTTCTAGGAAAATGCGTCAGGTAAAGTATATGTTCTTTTTTTGAAACAATCATCTGCACGCCCAAGTCGCAGTGATTGTTATCGTCGACGACGACACCCACGACGACAAAGACGACTGTACTGACGGGGTGCACAAATATAAGTCACACGTTTTTGCTAACATTAAAAATAACGTGAGACTGAGATGTATTTCTTTTTCTTCAGTCTTCAAGGAACGGTAAACACTAGTATGTATTAAGCGTTTAATTAAGGCTACCCTGGCAGCAAATTTTGGGATCAGAATTTCGCACCTCAAGTAGAATGGATTCAGAAGTAAGATCCCCGATGTCTCTGTGATTAATAGTGCGGATGCTGGACGTTTACGATCACCGGGACAAGGAACTTGTCCCCCATTCAAGTGACCGTAAACATCGGGCAAACCAAAAAAAACAAGATTAAAGCAATACTTACGCTGGTGGTTTCTTGGTAAGACCGATCACCTCGCAAAAATGCTCGTAGGTGAAACTGCCTGTACGTTTGTCGTCAAACAGAGAGATCCATTTCTGAAAAATAAACAATAGAAATCTCCAAGCAAACATACATTAAAAGGCCAAGGATCCATGAAAATCGATGTAACTAAGTCTCCTAATTTAGAGGGGAATGCGCAGGAGTCCTGTGAAAATGCTGCACGTTTCGCATCTAAACAGATTGGCATGTTAGGGAACTAACAGTCTTGTGGGGATTCAACAGTGGTGGTAGCTCGTAGCAGACCTGGGCTACCCTCGCCCGCTGCTGCTCTCTAAAATTAGCTCGACTTAGACTAGGTCGCTTAGGTTTTCTGCTCGATTTCGCATGCGCCTGGCGGGATTATCCATTGACCAGGTGGAGGCACATCCTCCTAGGGGAAAAACGAATCAATGAACGCTTGTCATAAAATGTCAGGGTGGAGAAGGTTGTTTCAAAGCCCAGCGTAAGAAAGGAATAATTGGAAAGATATGACCAAACTACGTGAAATGGGTTCAACTAGTTTGTAAATTTAGCAAGAAAGACAGATTTATGCAACTTTCATTTGATTGTTCTTCTGAACTCGATATTAGGGCCCACTAATTCTTAAGACCTAAAACGGCAATTTCGGGCCTTCCAAGACGTCTCTGACGCAAGAACAGTGTTTGCAGTCGGGGGTTACCTCCCAAGGCTGACCCTCCATTGAGCTCCACCTGCACCCACTTACTTGCAAAAAAGCGTCCGAGAGATCATTCTTTTCCGCGTACGCTCTGAGCGCCTTGATTGTCACCCTGCCCTTTGCACCAGTATCCAATTCATTGTAAATCTTCAAGAAATTTTTCTGCAATCCCTGTATTTCCATATCACTTAGTTATTTCACTAATGCCGATGCTGCCGATTTCAAACACGTTTCAAGCAAAAGTGCTCAGCTGAAAAGGTTCCCGAGTGCAAATTCGCGCACCGCCGGTTACCCTCTGATTGGTGCAGATGGGGGAACCAGTCTAATCTGCCTTCGATGTTCTGTTTTCGTTTTACGTTGCGTTTATGAGCAGTCAGGTGATGTTTTGCCTTCTTTCTCGTAACCTTAGTTAGCTAAGGACAGCAAAAAGGCCACAGATAAGTACTTACCGCACTCTTACTCAGTGGTGACTAGGAAAGTCATCCTGTGTGGTCACAGGATTTCGCTCAATTCATGGCGTATGGTTTTTCATATATATAAAGCAGAACTGAAAAAGCGTCTATAGGGATTTTATTGGTCGTTTTTGTATCTTTATAAGGTTTAATACGACCTTTTCATATATATCCTTACCGTCGTTACTGGCAGGGCATCGGGTCTTAAGGGTGCTTCGAACGTCAGATTTGTTCGTCGACTGTGAGGTAATGCGAAAATTATCGCAGTCCGTTAAGCAGCTCCCCAATTTGAGCAAACCAAGGACAGGTCGAAGAAGGGCTTCGTTTTCTTCTATCGTCTCATGCGCATTTGTTCTTATTTTTCGATTAGCCGCAAAATTTATTAGGGATAAATCGAAGAGCGCGAGAGAAGCAAGATTTTAAAGATGCTATCAAATTCTCAGAACTGTTCGCCTGTATACGGTCGTTGCCTAGTTGTCATATCATTTTACTGACTTGTTAAAATTCTAAAATTAGAGAAATCTTAACTTAAGGACAACACTGGCCACACAACGGAGTCAGTGAAACAATCCTGCGGTACGTGAAGACAAGATAGAATAAATTATCACCTGCTGGCTACCAGGAAAGTGTAAAACCAACAGCGCAATCCGTTTTCTCCAAACATTGCGGCTTCTATGAATTTCCGCGGTACCAGAATTCCTGCCTCATTTGAAAACTTTACTTTGTTCAAATTTTCTCAATGAATACATTAGGAGAGACAACGCTCTTGCAAAATAAAGCAATCTGCCAGTGACTGGGCATCACCTGAACCTTCTAAATCGACATTTTTATGGAGCATAGAACTTGAATGGACAACAGTCTTTAAGGTGGAAGATCAGATTGAGCATTTTCCTGAAACCTGCTTATTGAAAGGGCGCTGCTGCTTCTGACATCATGCAAATTTCCAAGATCTTTTTTGCAGTTTAAAGCTACTAAAGGACAAAAGTAGTCCTCCGTTAACTCTCCAAACACTAAGACACAATAAACCGACAACAGGACACACAGTTTTCTGCAATTTTAGTTATTCCTCTAGGGTCACCCTGCACTTTTCTGCCAATGTGGACAATCTGTCATAAGAACCAAAGAGCAGAAACGTGTGGAGTCTTTACTAGGCTGCATGCATGAAAGAGTTCTTGTATTAGCAAAGTGGGAGAACAACCTGTGCGTCTACTGTTGCGAAGGCAGGAGCGGGCATTAACCAGCAGATATGGGAACTGACTACAACTGGGGAGACAGAGGACATAGCAGTACTCCTTCAGCTGGTGATGTAGTCTGGCAGGCCGGTACACAGTGAGACTGCTTCCTCAGACCTTAAGGCAGTTTACTGTCGAATGATTGAAAAACCACGGATTTTGATATTGCAAGGAAATGACTAAGATAAACGTCAATGATCGACGCGTTCGAAACTTACCGAGGGAGGCTTTCCCTTCCATTGAGTGCGCGATGGTTGGCATCGATTTTTTGTCACTGATGTAAATGGGCCTATGTCCTCTGTGGCGCGTCTATATTAACCCACCACAGGCTGCTCTGCCTGTCTCGTGAATACGAACATGAGTAAACATGCAGATATCCGCCCGGTAAGCGCATTGCGTTTTTCAAGTGCTGCGATGACTTAAAAGTCGACCAACTAAATAATATGGAGAAGCCTGTTGGCACTCAAAAGTTGTGCGCATTTTGCATGTCAGCAATCCCGTGACTTGCTTCAAAAATTTTATAGCCGATTAGAAGATCTTGAGTGCCTTTGACAACTTTTACGCTATTTCCGGAACTCGTATTCTTTTAAGGGAAGAAGTAAATTATTTCCCGCTAGAAAATTCTGTCGCCCGCCAAAAATATTACCCACCAGTTTCCAGTGACCTCTAATTTCGTCTTTAATAAAAATTCCTTGCTAGATTTTTGTATGTCGCACCAAAGTGACAGAAAATGATCATGGGCTTGCATGAAGGTGGCACGCAGTCAATTATCCTGATTCTAGGCCGGCGGACCCCTTCCCTGTGGACTAAGCATTCACGGCCTCGGAAAACACGACACTGGACCGTTTTGCAGGGGAAACAATGGTCCTGTGATTCACTGACTCGTATTCAAACGACGAGCGGGTATTTTAGAGTTGATAGATGTTTTGTCAAATTTTAAATAATTAATATTGACCAACTGTGGAAAACTTGACGCCTCGGTTGGATTCGAACCCACGCAGTAAGGGGAAGGCTTTGGTATAGCCAGCGCCCTAACCACTTGAGCCACGAGGACCCACCGGACGACGCGAGCTTAATCATATTTGCGTCAAGTTACCCGCGCAACCTACTACAACGTCTGGAATCCACGAAGTCTGATACAGTATGTTGACTGCCCAAGCAGGATTCCCTAAGTAATTCACCTAGAATCCACCATATGACTACCAGGCTCACGAAAGTCGTAGATGTTTTGGCAGATTTTGGATAATTCATCAATCAGTAATCAATTCATCATCTATGAATTACGTGATTCTGGTAGTCATCTGGTGGATTCCAGCTGAATTTATTAGGGAATCCTGCTTGGGCAGTCAATTTACTTTGTCACATTTGGTGGATTCCAGACGTTGCAGTAGGTTGGGCGCGTAACTTGACTCAAATTTGATTCAACTCACGTCGTCCGGTGGGGCCTCGTAGCTCAGGTGGTTAGAGCGTTGGCTGTTCTACAGCCTACCCCGTACTGTCGTGGGTTCGAACCCTACCGAGGAGTCGAGTTTTTCACAGTTGGGTCAATATGAATTTTAGGGTTGGTAAATCACTGAGTGACAAAGAAATGACTCTCCCAGTGTTCCTATCTTTGTCGGCTAATCTGCTCGGTTATTAACTGCCAGTCGCCATGCCACTGCCTCTGTGGACCGTAGACACTCCGCTCCAAGAAGAAGCAGAAATATTTACTTCTATCTTGTAATCAGGGTAGATCGAGACACGCAACTCCCATGAGCCGGAATACTGTCTATTTAAGCCGACAGGGGCTGAGCCCGTAACGCAGCGTCGATGCCCTCGCTCGCTGAGCAATTGTGCGGCCTTGAACCTCACACATGTTCGCACCCTGTGATTGAATTGTCCTGGGCTGGCGACTTCAGTTTACCCAGCTTCGTCGGCAGCAATCCTCGATTTTGCAACGTTTGCTGATTTCCAGTATGCTTTCTGTTTGTTGACTTAGAAGAATCTTGACAACTTTAACTTCTTTGCAGACTGCAGAACAAATTTTTCAGTTCATATGGCCTGTAACTGGCTATTATCTACTGAAATACCTTAAATCTATTCAGCATTATGGCACTAGGTATAATATTAAAAGTGCGTGAAAATTAGGGTTTTTGTACTGGTCACAGTCTTTATCACAGTTCTTGATGAACAGGTCTACCCCTAGCATTAGTATTGTGTTTAATTTGTGTGGCTAATTTAGCATTTAAATAGCGGCACCTGTAATCTCCTATAGAACTAGTTTGGAAATTATCCACATTTATGCTGTATGTACTTATGCCTAACCTATTTACATGCTGTTCCCTATCTTTGTTTCGTTCTAGCTCTCCTGAACTGTATATGTTTGTTTGATCAATTCTTGACTTTGAAACCGAAGTCCGCTCCTTTAACTTGTAATTGCTACTGTACACGCCGCGTGCGACTCACGCTTTGGAGCGCAAATTTTGCTGTCTGGAGCCCGACGTTAAAACCGACCGACTCATTTGTTGTATACGTGTATCCAGTGTCGAGGTTTTCACGTTGTTTCTTCCTGATTATTTGTAAATAGTACCGCACGAAAACCCAACTGCGTTTTTCATTCTGATTTGACGTACGCGTTACTTTGGGATACCGACTTGTCGGTTGCAGTACCCATGCATCCAAAATAGTGTTCTTCCCATTCTCCCAAAGGCGGGTCATCAGAAGTGTGTGTAATTTGCCTCGTCTGATCATCAGCGACTTGGAAAACTGCAGGAGCCTTCAGTAGCTGATACTTGGTGGTCCACTGGCTACTCCAACACTGAGTGTACCATGCACATGCAGGTCGATGGAACACATGTAGAACTTTCCAACATCTTTGAAAACATAGGAATGGTCTACTTTGTTCTCATGATCCCCGTTCAGCCCAATTTAAACATTTTCCCTGGCATAAATTTGGACCAGGTAAATGTTCAAAAGTTAATGGCGTCCTTATCTTTGCGATCTCCTGTTTAACTGCGAACAATCACTGTGTACCTATAAAGTAACCGTTTAGTGAGAAAATAGCCCCAGGCAGCCAAAAGAGAAGGATGCGCAAGCGCTCGTCTGCCTCACCATCCCCCATCCACGCCAGGCCCACTTGCATGTCTGGTCTACTCTCACTGCATTTTATGTCCAGGGTGCGACACCTACCCGAAAACTAAGTATCGTGAAAAGTGCGTTCACCGATCGGATTACGGTAAGTGTTCATTCTGTTACGTCCTAGAGCTCAATTTCGAGCCATTTCAGGCAGTCACAGGACGGCAATACCTATATATAGAAGGAGAAGTGCCAATAAATGCAAGTGAGACTGGGGCGAACGTTTCTGCTTTTCGGACGTCGTCAGTTAACCATGTCCGACCCCATCTTTTCAGGGCCCGATGTTTGAAGCCAGGTTCGTTGCTCACCGCACGATTTCAAGTCCGACGTCCTGGCATTGAGCCACGGACCCGTTTAAGTGTAAAAACCGGTACATATTCATAGAATTTTATACACAGATGCTGACGCAGGTCACAAAACATTATTTCATAAAACGACTTCAACTCCTACTTGCAGCCACAAGGCGGCTTTTGAGAAGACTAAGTGCATTTACCAGATGATTTTTATTTATGCTGATCATAAGGCCGCCGGTAGAAGGTCTCGATGAATCTTTAATACTGTTGGCAAGCTTGCTGCACTCCCTCCAGTAGCTCTCCGGAACCTAGCACCAAAGAGTGTTTTTGTCGGGTGAGTTGGGAGGCCAAATGCTAGATGTTTCTTGAATAAAATTTTGTGACATGTGCGCAAGAACGTGCGAAATAAATTTTGAGGACAGAAACTGGTTTTCTAGTGAGTGTTTTATTTTCCTCATTGTTAAATTTTATTTTTGGAACAACTGAGTCACCCCCCCCCTATCCCGTTTGAAGGCCCTGTGCTGTTTCATTGTCGAATTGCCAGTTTTATAAATATGTAATGGTCATTCGCAGTGGGAGGAAATGTCAGGAAATTAGTAATGCCATTAGATTCGGCATGCATCCTTATCTTTCCCTTTTGTGGGCCTAAATTGCGTGCTGTGTGCAAGGCTTGAACTTCGGTCAGGGGGGTTTTAAAATGAGGCTGCCCTGGGTGCACAACGTATAGGTTCCACATTGGTTAGAAAAGCAATTTCTAAAAGTGGCGTGTGAAATGCCCTGTTTGAAAGAACGAAAACACCAAGGTGTCCATTAAGATTCCCTGTCCATTGCTGCTTCTAACTCGGTCCAGTTGGGGCCTACTAATCAGCCTGAGACAACCACACTGAATAATTATTCAAGATACACCGGTTAGAGGAAGCGGTCCCAATTAAGTCATTATATGCAGCACAATATCTAAACAGAAAATAAATGACTCAATGAAGAATATCAGGCATCATTAATATCGAAAAACCAGAGAATCTCGGCTTTTTGAGCGAATGAAACTGGTTTAAGTATTATTTTTTCGGGATGATCCGCCAGACGGACTGATATTGACTGGTTACTGTAATGTAACGACATTCTATTGCACACTTACTGGGCAAGTTTTGGCTTAATTGAGTAGTTCTTCTATTAGACTGATAAGTGTAACATCTTAAAACAACTATTGGGTACGTATGTATTTGTAATGTAAGGTCAATGAGAGTGAGTAGGCAAAGCTACATGTAATTGATTGAAGACAATAAGGGAAAGGCCAACTATGTCATATAATTTCCTGGCAAATGGTTACTTTCTGATTATCATTGGCCACATCTGAGCCTGACTGTTGAAGGTCTGCAACAAGTGAATGGTGCTAGCAGGTTTACCGACGCATAGGCAAGACAACTGCAAAAATTACTTTAACAGCACCTACAAACTATTCTACATTCCCCCGGCTTTAACTGGGCCTATCTTCGAGCAGTATACTGACACCGTCATATTAAGAGTTATATTTTTTCTCCCTCAACACACGAAACAAAGGTCAAATAATAATGGGTACCTTGAGGTAAAGGGGGAGTGTTTAATTAACAAAGCGATGTAGGTGCATAATATCAGACAACTCGGTCTTTGTAGATATCGAATTCTGAAATTTACCGCAATTTCGGTAAGGGTTTTTGACCACCGGGGAATCCAGATTAAAGTAAATTCAATTTATTCGCCAATTCAAAGTTTTGGTGCAAAAAATGGTCAGATAAACCGATAAGCTTAAAAACTATAAGCCAATTTGTAACGCGTTCTCTAATCAAATCGAATAGATGATAGTTAAAGGGAAAGGGATGCTTTTCGGTGTCCGGGAGTACAAACGCCTCGCTAGGAATACGTTTGTGAAATGAAGCAATGATACCGGGAGTTATTAACGGTAGATAAGTGCCAGAAGAGCCATGTTTGTACTAAATCAAACGTCTTCTCTGCCTCTCAGATGTGAACCCTGACTGTTTTTTTTTCAATAATACGAGAATGATGTTCTTTAGCACTACCCTCATAAGTCAAAGACTGAGCAGCTGGACATATTTGCGAATTTTCCGTCTTTTATCCGCAGGTTACATTGACCAGCAAGTGCGATGTGAGGAAAAAGTTTTGGAGCAGTTGGCGGTTTTGTGGCCAAAAGTATGCTCAAATTTACTTCCAAAAACGTATACTCCTGTGATCGACACCGGTTGGTGTCTCAATGGTAGAACGGACTCTCAAGCTCCTTTTATGCCTTTGGGAAACTACGTGGTGACTTTGAGACTACTGGCATATTCATCGGAAGAAGTGGAAGCGAACGAATCAAGAATTCAGACTATTTTTTGTTACTACAGCATCCCTACAAACATAACTGAGTCTGACATTTTTAGACGAAACTTCATCCTCCTCCTACGCAATCAGGTAAAAAAGATGAACTCTACTTTTGAACCTAATTCAGATGGCACCACCCTTTTAGCCTAGAGGGCAATTAGAAGCTAACACGAGTACTAGGATGCCCCCATTAAACGATTTAATTCTGAGTAATGTTTGAGAGGAATGCTTGCTGATTTCCTTGAATGCCCAAAATTGACCTGTTTATGGGCCATAGCACTGTCATAGGAATTTACGAACATCACCTTCGATCCCATTGTCAAATGTTTTCAGAATAACATTAGCGTATTCACGTACTACAGTACTAGGCTGAAAGTGTTAACTATTAATCAAGAATAACGTACACAGTTAAGGCTTGTTTAACTGCCTTTTCACACTTTGTTTGGGCTTCTGTCGTGTACTTACAGGCCTTATCTATCCTTCTCATGCCTAAGATTTCTTCGATATTGCTTCTAGGACTTGAAAACGTACAAGATTTCAATCGTTGTTTAACTGTATAGTAGACGTCTAAAAACCATGATCGAGCACGTCGATCGATGAAACTAGTTGTAGGAACTTTTGTTGATTTTTGGTCTGCTTAGGATGATAAAAATATGACAATATCAAACGGACAATGATGATCAGCGACAGATTAAAGCGCCAAGCCTCAGTCACAAGTTCCGTTTATGGAGTACTAGACTCAAAGTCAGAATATAAATTTCTAAATTATTTCACATGCATTGCGGAAAATGTTACGCGTAACATCTTTCGCAACTACTGCTGTGTAACACTTCTTAATTTATTCAGGGGAATTCTTTCATTCTCTTTGCAATTCTAATTAACTTTCGCTTTTCAAATCAACTATATATCTGTGCAAAATGGATATATTCTGAGTGTAAAAGAAGGTAGCATCTGATTTCCCGGGAATGTTAACACCTGTGGCCATACTCCTAATCTACTCGTTCTGTTTTTTATCAAAAACTGAATTCTGGTGTAGATCGAACGAGGAGATTTTCTCTCATGTATAGCTGCTATCATGTAACAAAGTTGACTTAGTGCAAAAACCAGTTCAAACTGGTTGCTAGAGGGATTAACGCCAGTTTGTTCTTTGGAATCCTCGTGGACGATCGAAAAGTCGGGAGCAGTATTTAAGTTGCCCTTTCTGGCATATATGGGTTACCAGCTAGCCGCTACTGAACCCGGGGGTCAGCTAGAGCTGGAACTTAAACCGGAATCATCTGCCAAACTCATGTCTTTCTTACAAGGAAAAGCAATTAACTTTCGAGCGCATAAGATGGTGGAATAAGCTGGACCGAATATGTCGGACAGGATAGAAATATCTATATGGCACATGAATAACCGCAGACCTAATGCACTTACGGTGACAAAAGATTCAGGCATATTGTTCTCCTGAGCGTAGACACGTAGATCCTCATGACTGATTACGTGATCATGATCCTTGTCGATCTTATCGAAGGCGTGAAGGAAGCCCTGTACCGCCATGCTGGGTGTGGACACCTGCTTCTGTGGGATCGGGTATAACTCTGCGGATGTTCTTGCCAAGTAGTCGCTTTAACGCGAGGCCAGCGGATCAACAAGTGATGCATGCGGTTTGCTCACGGGCAGCGCAGCTAACCTGCTCTCAAAGCACGCACAAACGCACACACGCTAAGGCAAGCAGACAAGCACTAAGTCACAGAGGGGGCGGCAAAAGCGAGCAGAAGGATGTAGTTGCCTTGGTGTGCGTGTCTGCCACTTGGTGCCTTGTGCTGGGCTAGTATGAATGGCTCACTGGCCTGCTCTTGAATGGGTGCACGAAGCCGCCTACTGCATGTCACCTTAGTCTGACAGCTTACCCTTGTCTGAGCTGGTGACAATAGTAAAGCGGAGCAGTTTCTGTGTGAAATTCAACTTCGCAAAACTGTCTGCATGTGTGCATGTGTGTAGGTTTGTATAAGTTCGACCTGTCAAATTTGCGAAACACACGCACTTTATCGTCAGGGCTACAATTGCCTGGAGAAAGCCCATTCCGCTGAGGAGGATACTCTAGGACCTCCCAATTTTAAACGGAGGTATTCCGTTGTCGGATGTAGCAGGCACAATCTCCACAGGGCTAAAACACTGGAGGAGAACCCTCCAATACGAGCTAAGGGATTTTTGAACTCGTTGCCAACTACCTACTCATGAACGCTTAGGAAAATATGTCCTGTAGAAACAGAATGTCGAGAACATATCTGATAGGAAAATAAAGTCTCCTGCCCAAAAGATGTAAAATGGAAAACGTTTTAGCTACAATTTCCGACTGAAATTCCTATGCGAAAAAGTCAAAGATTTCGTTTTGCGTATGCCGTTTCTGTATGAAGTTAGCTTGAAGCATATTGTAGCTGATGCCGCAGGAAGCATTCATATTGAAGTCTTTGACAAATTAAAGACAACTGTCAAAGCCACACCAAAGGCCAACTGTTAGATCTCAGGAAGTAGAACTGAGCTTTGCAAATGTATTAAACATCTAGCGTTAACAGAACGATTACAAAACTGGGCAAGTGGATATTACAGGAGCTAAGGGAAAAACACAAATTGATTCATATGAACATCTGACATTCCTTATAGATGAGGAACAGCAGAAAACTCCCTCTGAACCGAATCATTGTTTCCAATGGTGCATGTGTCTAAGTTAGTGATCCGATGAGATTGGGCAGTAGTTGTGTGCCAATTGCACCCTCAAGCGTGCTTCAAAACCAATATTTCATCCTAAAATAATCTTAGTGGCCGTATGGTGATCCGCCGAAAACTTTTATATAAGTAATTTCGTAAGCTGAACAAGACAACCACAGTTACTGTGTTGTTTGGCAGATTTTAAGTAAGTTATTTCATTTTTGCCCAATTGTGAAAACCTCGGTGACCTCGGTGGGTTCCGAACCCACGACAGCAAGGGAGAAGATTGCGTATAGCTAGCGCTCCAACCAGCTGAACTACGAGGCCCCACCGAGAGCCCTGTGGTCGAACTCGCTGTTCCCGGTGGGGCCTCGTAGCTTAGCTGTTTGGAGTGCTGGCTGTTCTCAAGCTCTTCCTTTGCTGTCGTGGGCTAGAAACCTATCCCTCTTTCAGATCTGTGTGGGCAAGTAATCACTTCAAAATCGGAATGACCCTATGAAAATATTTGACAAATTCATCGAATATAAGAAGGCAGATTTTTTGTCAGAATAGCACACTCTCCTAGTCACCTATTCGCAAAGTTATTAACCAGCGATTAAAAACGTATGATGTTTTGGAAAAATTTCGTCGGCAAAATCTGTTATTTTATGTAAAACCGAATCTTACAAAAGCAAAATTTTATGCTATATGTCTATGAGAAATTAACTCTTCACTTAAGCCATTTTTACACCAAGGAAAATTTCTGTCAGCATACACCACGCCTAATTATGTTGTCACAGATGATTACGTAAATCCTTTATGCGAAGTCGGAATACTCGCGTGCATTAAATAACTACCATGAATAACTTATACAGTGACTATTTGTCACATATTTTCAAGTCTGAATTTCGACTGAAATGCGAGGCGGTGGCGCCTTGGAGGCACTGGACGGATTTGAAATCCTCTCAATGTTTCTCTGACCAAAGAGGACAGCTGCCCCAAAACAGGGGAATAACTGTATCCTCAGGTAGCAGCAGGAATCATGTCTTGCCTGGGGCTTTTTCCTTCGGGATTTTTAGGACTGTTCGACTTGACTTACACTAGTCAATAGAAGCAAAGAGACGACTCCCAGGAAGTAGTCTTGAAGAAGGAGACGTTTCTGGCCGTGGCAACGGGTCTTTCGGTTTCATTACCAGACGCCTGATGGTTGCCTCCGGTCTGTGTGCAACTCCAACTCCAAGTGATGCGAGAAGGCGACCGACAGCTTCCAAAACGTTCTTAACATACGGAAGCGCCCGCCAAGATTTGGTGTCCGTGCGGTTAGGCCTTTCGTCCCTTTTGCGTATGCACAGGTTGACGAAGTTGCACGGGTGGCCATTGGCTTTGAATACCCGTCGGAGGTGTTGTAGTTCGGCAATCTTGTCTTCCGGCTCACTGCAGTGCGTTTCGACACGCAGATAGAGCGTCCTTACACAGCTGCCTTTGTGGTCGATTGGGTGGTTGCTGTTGAAGTTCAGTACTTGCATCGTATTTGTCGCTTTTATGAACACTTTGGTCTTTAGTCCACCACAATCTTTGCGGCATACGAGGACATCCAGGAAGGCCAGCTGGTTGTTCTCTTCCTCCTCACACACACAGTTGCACACAGACCGGAGGCAAGCATTAGGCGTCTGGTAATGAAACCGAAAGACCCGCTGCCACGGCCAGAAACGTCTGGAGTCGTTCATCGGATCTGGTGCAGTTGCGGACAAAGCAACTACATCGGGGAGACCGGAAGACAGCTCCGAACGAGAACACGCTGCAGCGGTACGGAGAAATGACGCCAGCTCCCAAGTTACGGCTCATTCGACGAGATCCGGCCACATATCCAAATTCGACGAGGCCGAAATTCTCGCAAGGGGTGACAACCGCGTGAGTCGGGAGCTACTTGAATCATGGTTTACTGGCCGCCAGTCCAGTAACAAGTGTAATGAACTTCTCCTCCATACTCTGTGCTGAAACTTCGTCTAGGCGGAGTAATTGGCCGCGCGGGGAGGGCACAGGTGAACACTTCTCCCAGCAGCAGGATCGATGCGTCAGATGGTCGAGCGATCATCACACCAACATCCAACGCACGTGATGAAACTGCAGCAATTAACGACGCGAACGTCGGCCATCAAGCAATCAACACACCACGTGCAACGATCCCGGATGAAGGGGGAGCCGTGAATGTTCATAGGAATGCGGTAGCATGGCGACTGCATCCTATAAATACTTCAGCCCCTGGAGCATGAATCACCCGTATCTGCTGTTGTCTCTGATGATGGGTTCGAGCAGGAACCCAAAACGTCAGGCTAATAAAGTTCTTGTCCATGTGATCGTGTCTCATTCTACATTTCACACTAGTGTTGGCAGAGTAAGGTAAACGTCTGAATCAGCCTTGTGCAATCCTCCTAATCAACTTTTCCAGCAATGAAGATAGTGGGTTAGGCAGCCGCAAGTGTTCGGTCTAGTAGCCCAGGATCTCTTTACCCGACATCGATTCCGGGAAAGTTCTGGCGAAGTATGGACGAAAGCGAGCCTTATAAAACGTCAAGTGGGTCTTCCGTTTGTTGCTCTCATCGTTTACCTTTGATTTCCCCTGTTCTCTTGCCCAGTCAAGTCCTTTCTTTTTCAGTTTTCACAGTAGTTGACAGTCACATCTAGCAAATGCGATTTCAGTTGCACAGCTCTTCTGCTCTCGCGTGTAGGCAGAAGCCAGTTTTGCACCAAAAAATGGCGTAAGACTTGCCCATTGTCCTCTTCTAGCCGAATGAGCCCATTAAAAGTGGTTAGGAGTTGGCCGTACTGTTCCTCAGCATTGCTTTCTGGCTTCTCCTCAATCGTGCATATTCCGTTGGCTTCAACCGTCGCATCCGAATTTTGTGGGACAGATTGCGGAAGGGATCCCTTATATGGCTCCCGGGAAAACACGAGAATAGGGACCGTTCGTAATACAGATGGATTTTCGCTAAATTCCAGAGAGAGGGAGTTTAGAGATAATGTCAGGGCTACAGTTGACGTTTAGTTAGGGTTTTTTTTAGGGCTAAAACACGGAAATGGGCGCCCTTCCTAGAATTTAATGCTTCCTAAGATAAAACGTTTCTACTACCATGTGGTGTGCGGGTTAGTAGCACATAAGCGATTCCGATCCAGATTGCCATCTTTGCTAATTATGTGTTAGAGAAACATAAGACATCCGGCTGACTCCGAAGCAGTTGCTGAAATCTTGAAGGTGACACTGTAGCTTTGTTTCCGTCCTCCTTGTTGACAAATAACTATATCAATCTCGGACTTGGATTAGAAAGCTTAGTTCCGACTGATTTACTTCAGGTTATTGATTACTTTCGCAAGAGATTAAGAAGCCGAAATCTCGTCTTTAAACATTCGTCACAGTAGGCTCTTATTGTTGTCCTTCCGACGTGACTGTTTAATCAAAGACAGACCTGCTGCAACAATTCAGAGGTGCATAGGGGTGCGTGGGGTGTTGATAGTGGTTTAAGTCGTAATTAGCAGGTTTGCGGCTCAATCCCTGTCACCCTTTCTCTAGATCAATGATGCTTCAGTGGCGGAAATTGGTCTAGGGGGATGGAATTACGCATATGCCCGACGGTCTTTTAACACGAGCGTACAGGTTACCTATTAGCTTTCATTTGCAGTCCCGCCCACCCAAGTTCGGTTTCGCATAGTAGCCACATCCTGGTAGCCGCCGAGACCGGCGGGCACACGGTGGGCGTAGGCGTTACCGGCGGTCGAACTGTCACCTACCAGGACGAAACGGCGTCTTACCTCGTCATTAACTAGTCTAAACTAACCTTGTCAGTCTATTACTATGACACGGAAAAGCAGCA